GTCCACCACCCTATTTGTAAACCAGTTCCTTCCCATCTCCCTCCTAAACCTAAACTTATCCAACTTAAATCCGTTGCTGCAGTTCTATCCTGCTCGGATATTATAAGAAATTTATCTATATCCCCTTTATTGATTCCTTTCACCCACTTAAATACTTCTGTTATATCTCCCCGCACTCTTCGTCTTTCTAGGGAATGCAAGTTTAATTTCTTTAACCTATCTTGATAAGGAAGGTACTCAAGGGATTAAATCATCTTACTCAAGGGTTGTCATCGTACTCAAGGGTTAAGTTATCGTACTCAAGGGTTTAAATCATCGTACTCAAGGGTCTAAATCATCGTACTCAAGGGTTAAGTTATCGTACTCAAGGGTTAAATCATCGTACTCAAGGGTTAAGTTATCGTACTCAAGGGTTTAAATCATCGTACTCAAGGGTTTAAATCATCGTACTCAAGGGTTTAAATCATCGTACTCAAGGGTTAAGTTATCGTACTCAAGGGTTAAATAATCGTACTCAAGGGTTAAGTTATCGTACTCAAGGGTTAAATCACCGTACTCAAGGGTTATGTCATCGTACTCATTACTTTAAAGAGCAGTTATATAATCAACTCACTAAAAGAAAAAAAAGACATCTATTTATGTTAATTTTAATGTAACAAGTCTGCAAGAGGTAAACACAACACTGGACCTTAGTTACGCCTCTGTGTGTGTGTGTGTGTGTGTGTGTGTGTGTGTGTGTGTGTGCCTCAAGCGGAGATTCGGCGGGTGGAGGCTCCAGTCAGGAATGAAGTAAAGTTGAAAGGTCATCCATTCCTTCAAATGTCTACATCACCACCACACTGTCTGTTTCCATGTCTGTCTGTCTGTGTCTTTAAGTATATATCTTCAGGTTGATAGACAGGACAGGGTATGGTATAGATTCCTTGTATTTCGGACACACACACACATATCCACAACACAACTAATAATTCAAAGAAAATTCTAACACGGCACACCAAAAAAATAGCACGAATTACAAATAAACAATTTAATTATATACATTACAGCTTCAGTCTTATGTAAATACACATTAAAATTTACGGTTGTAATGTATAATAGAGACAGTTATTGGGGTAGTAGTAGCGGCTTATCCAGGTAAGCTCTTCTCTTACACCTGTTGTCTTGTGTCGCGGACTCTCTCTCTCAGAAGGTCAGGTACGTAATTATATCTCCTCGTTTCTGAATCTTTCTTTGTATATTTGGCTTAACATATATCTTTTAGCCACGCATATAAGTAGATGTATAACCGATAGAAAAGTCAGATAGGTACAGGTATATAAATTCAATACACTATATGAAACAACAGCAGGATAAATGTATAATTATATAAGGAAATAAACAAATACAACACGAGGTAAATAATACTGAGGACTTGGCAGTATTTCAGCGCCGGCAGGATGTTCCCCCGAGCTTGAATTTATACTGCGGACCTGAAGGGGAAGGCTAGGCTGTTATTCCCCGTTGTTTTCTTTTCTTTACTTTAAGCGCGTAATATAAGCATTTATATTACCACTAAAACTTAATTTTTGTTTAATAAGAACCTGGTTATAGTTGCTTATATGTATTTAGTTCCTGGAGTGGTAAATGTGTGATGGTTGATAACGAATAAGTGTTAGTGAGTTTAAAGATGTGTTTGTTTTGCTTTGCTGGCCGTTGTAGTCAATATTGTAAAAAAAAAAAAAATAATTATTAGAAGTAAAGATTTTAATGTACCGCTATCTAGATACTTTAAGATACAGTACTTTATTAATGAACGCTATTCTGTTCTATAAAAAAAAAGAATGTGATAAATTTTATGAATGACGCGTCTCCAAGAGATCATTAAAGCAAATTTCGAGTGATAAGAATAAAAAAAAACTGAATTTTGTGCTGTCTGTATTTACGTCATTACGAACGGGAGTAATTATTCTTTCACTCCTTATCCAATTACTCTCTTTAAGTGGAATGGACGCTTCTGTTTACTTACCAATTCTTCTTGGAACAGACAATTAATTAAGGTTGCACTTTGTTTCCGGGTACAAGATTGTTTTTGCATTTGCGATAATGGTTAAAGTATCTTTTTAGGTTCACATCCTTGATAATGATTTTTTTTCAGGATTCACTGTTATAATGTGTAGCATGCATGTCCAGTGGGGGGTGGAGGGGTCGAGTTCGGGTCCTACGAAGTTTCAGGAAGGTTGTGGAGTCGTGGCTCTTGGCTCTTCAGCTATTTGGCAAAAACCAATCAGTGGATTATATTTGGTTCTAGCAGGAAGGAACCTCAGAGCGCTATATATATATATATATATATATATATATATATATATATATATATATATATATATATATATATATATATATATATATATATATATATATATATATATATATATAATATCCCCGAGTCTGCTAGTATTGGGTGGTTTATTCCAGCAAAAATCAGGCAGAGGTGTGGGATGGTTTTTGTCAATTCACCAAAACGCTGCAGGGTGGCGCATGACGCTTTGTGAGGAAGTTCAAATTCGATTTTCATGTTAATCCATAAGCTGTACATTCTGTGCATTATAACAAACGCCTTAGTAAAAAGTCCAGAAGAAAAGTTATTATAAAAGTTGAGTCTAAAACACATATTGACCATGATGTCCGTTAATCTCCGATACTTCGAAACCCAGTTAGTTTCGGTTAATTCGAAACAGTCAATTAGTCTCGGATAATTCGAAACTTAGTCAATTAGAGTCGGATAATTCAAAACCTAGTCGATCGGCCACAGGTAATTCGAATCGGAGTAAAAGTGTCTTCGAGAATTCGAAATTGAATCTAATGGTTTCGGATAATTCAGACCCAAACACACAAGGTCCAAGAGAATTCGTCAACATCCTGGAGCAACGACTGCCTCACCACCACCAAACATTGTGAAAGTCATTCCTCCTTCGTTTGACTGTTTAACCGATCAAATCTAAACATGGCTCGGTCTCTTTTTTTGTAACTTACACAAAAAAAGAGAGAAAAAAGCTGTTCAAGTAATCTCTTCCCTCTTTACAAGTACAGCATTAGGAAATAATTTATACTTACATAAATATCCCCGGCGATAAGAGTTTTGGTGGCACTTTGTAAATATTTTTATGTAAACGTGAAAGAAATAACGGGGAATTCTATAATAAGAATACTTGTGAAAAGATTTTAAAATGAATAATTTTTTTATTGCTTTTAAGTTTATTATTGTCTTTTATTTATCGTGTTATGTTTTGTGTATGTCGCTGATTATGTCTGTTATTATCTTCAGCGTCATTAACTGTTCATAACCGGTGAGTGATAATATCGAGTGATTGTGGTAATGTTAACATGATATTGTGGTAGATAGAAACGGAGAGGAGGAAATATGTTGATAATTTAGTAATAATAACGGCATGTGGTGGTGGTGGTGGAGCCGGGAGTAACTGAAGAGACTGGTTGATAATAGCGGATAAAACAACAATAATATAAATGCTAAATATCTAAATAATATTAATGAATCACAAATGGATATCGGCTTAAAAGGTGTTGGAAATTGTACGTTGTTTGTATAAATTCTCTCCTTAATTTCACAACTATCACACAATTCCGTTCTTTCTCGAAAATATTATTACTCTTGTTGTTTATATTTAGGTGTTTCAGCTACCTGGGTCTCTGAGTACAAATATTCAGCAAGACAGTTTCCTTACTAGACGACTGTTAAAAATAAATTCCTTTCCATACTGTGTGGTTGTATGTATTTCTGTACTTCAACTTTTAAGGTCTCTTAGCACGTACGGTAAATCAACTCTCATACTATATATTCTTCTAAAAACATAAATTTATCTTTTTATTTTAATATTATACATTTAGTGAGCGAATTATCCTCATAAGGGCTTACTGGTAAATCATCGCTAGATATTTAGTCAGTAAAATTGTCATACAACTTCACGTACTACAGATAATATTTAAAGTATGTATTATTGATTATTTAAAGTCAAGAAATCTTCATTAATAGTCTAAATTAACCTTTGGCAAATCTTTACCCACCCACCTACCGGCCGCTCGCCCCCTCCCTTCCCCGCTGGGCTACGCTACTCGGCATGTTCATCTCTCAATCGGAATTTTTGTCATCTGGAAAAAAGTTCATCAAACAACACAATAATAATCCACCAGCAGATGATTCATTATAATCAAATTACCTCATTTAATGTCTCACCGCGTAATTGTTAAGTTTTACCTTTAAGTAATTTCCTGTTAGACATTGTTCGTCTAACGGGATAGTCTTTTGATGTACTATATATTTTTCTCCATCGAATAATTCTTGTGTATAATTTCCAGTGATGTTAATTTGTAAATCCTTCATGGAATAAATTAAAAAAAATGTATAATACTTCCTAACACGTGAATAATAACACGATTTACTTCCCTTTGACATTATTAATTTGAATTGCTGATTATAGTTACTTAACCGTATGTATTGGATAAAACAAAATCATATTTATGACTGAATTTAAATATATTTTCAAAGTTGTAAGGTATAAAAAGTATACCCGAGTCTTTAGTGAGCAAATTATTTAATAACTCTGACAGGTATATTTTATTATTCATGTCATTATTATTTGTGATGTGTGATCAGTATTATATGATTTTAACCCTTTTCAAATGGAATATAAAGTATATTCGTTGTATTATAATGTAATACTATGCTTCAACAACCATTATCTATAAACCCTTTAAGCGCAAACTCAGGGCTAGGTGACACTTACCATTTAGTCACCAACAATAAAATAGGTACACCTTTCTAGTTAAAAATATCAGTATTAACACCTATAATCACAATTATAACGTGAGTTATTTTTCTATTATTGTGTCAGTATAGATTCTTGCCTCAGCATGATTGATAATTAATAAAACCTATGTTAGATATACTGTACAGTTAAGTTTGAAGAATCCCCGTTTATGTGTGGAAATTGAAGAAAACCATATTATTATTTTTCACTTTCTGTTCTTCCTTTATTTCACTACATTTATTTTTTCAATGAAAGTTTTCACAATTATTGTAATACTTCTTACATTTTATTCTTCTTATATATAATTTATAACGGAATATACAGTATATTGTAAACTGTACCTCTTTCAATATTATTACCAAATAGATTTTCTAATGTTTAAAGGAAGATATATTTGACGTGTGTATAATGTGTGTTTACCAAATGTTTGTTATTACAAGTATACATAAATTATGGTATAGCTTAAATATAGTGTCACTAACTTCAATAATCCGAGTCATAAGAAACTTCGATCCAGACTATCACAATAAACAAAAACCGAAGTTAATTTGCGTTAAATATCAGAAGCATTTGTTTAAAAAAATATGTTTTATCTTTTATTTGTCAGTTTCTTCAAGTTCGAGATGTTTATGAAGGGAATCACCTCTTTCTATCATTCCATAAAAAAAATCTATAGCCGCAAGTTGTTACGGTTCAGCCACAGCACATAAATAGTTAGTTATCCTTATCTTACAACCACCAACTTGTAGTAACACTTGTTGGAATTCGGTTATAACCATCGAGCCGACAGACACACACCAAGTGGCAAAACATCCGCTTATTTATAAAAAAAAGGAAATTATTTAAAATTGAAGGACAATATTACTTGCTTGTCGGTCTTGTTTCCTCGGCACTAATTTGAGATGAATCTACGTCGCGCCTCTACTGCCGGGCATATCTGGGTTAATTTTATTCGCTGTGGTTAGTCAGTCCAAAGTGAGAAAACAGTGGTATTTTCCCTTATATTTGCATTGCAGGCTGCTTTTGGACTGTTCATCACCCCTTACTCTATCCCACATAACAGGCTGGACGACCTCCCATCAGTCTGTACTGTGGTAGAACCTTCCCTAATCTCATCACTGCAGGCTATCAACCTACATGGCGTGAGTGACAATATCCTAACACCCCCTCAGACAGAGTCACAAGCTCGAGAGATTCGCCTACCACGATACTCCTGGCGAGGGACGCAGGTGGTGGCAGAGTCTCGTCTAGGTGGTGGTGGGTGACGCAGGCCAGCAGGCAGTCTTGGGGCACACAAGGCACACTCACTTCTACGTCGCCTCACCACCACCTTCGTCAGTAGAGGGAGGCATCATCCTTGCCAGTAGTATTTTTTGGGGGGGACGAATGGCAGAGTTCGTGGATACCTCACCCTCGAGCAGTACAGATCCCTTCCTGAAGAACTTGTACATGTAGTGGCATCACCAGGTGGATGACTAAACGCATTGCATCCCGCTGGCCTAAACGTGCCAGTGGCTTTTGAAATATAGCGATTGTTTATATAATATATTAAGTATATATCGGTAATGAACTTTTTGATATTAATTCACCTCCAAACTTCTCTTATAATTTTGTCCTCTGGCGTGACAGGAAGATGGTGGCCTTTATGATCGTCGGGATATTAAACAAATGCGTCGTGGATCAACAAACCTTCTAGAGCGGATTGTTCCCTTTAATTTGTCAACATAAAGGAGTGTCTCCCTCCCTACCAGCTCCTAGCACCGTCAACCCTCCTCCCGGGGCGGCGCTCATCGGCCTACTGGCGTGGCGGCGACCACCACCCGCAGCCACCCACCGCCGCCGCCACCGCCGCCGCCAAACTCCGCCCCTCACTCCTCACTGGTCACACAAAATGGCGGATATGGCGCATGCGCACTTTCTTGTTGACAGTTTATAACATTATAATGTGTTCTTTGAATTGTTAATTTATGTATGTTTTTTTAGGGACACTTAAATAATCAATACCGACTTATTCATCAAAGTATATAATATATGTGGATCTTTTAACTGACACCCTGACTTATGTAACTTGAAATGACGCATAATTTGCCTCGTCATCATACAAACACTAGCGATGTTTTTACTTTAGTCATATAACTATGTATAACAAGAGCAGTATAATAAAGAATGATATTTTTTTCATTCTTATAGTAAAGTAATTAGTTGAATATCGCCGGAGAGGAACGCATACATAAGTCATGCTTTGTCTGTGTCGCCGTTAATTCAGACACTTCTACCGTTCTATAGCGTAACCAAGTAACCAGGATCGTAACTACTTAATATATAAATCTTCTGTATTGGGAGAAAACAGATAAAACCGGCGACAAAACTGGTAATAATAATCCGAAAGCGATGGTTTAGGATGGATCGACCAGCAGTAGCGGGCGACAAGATGGCTGCACCGGCGGCCGTGACTGCGACTGTGTGTAAGGCTCATTACCAACCTGGAGGGGTCGGTCTAGTGTGTGTGTGGCAGCCGGCTTGCCCAACCTCTCCAGCCAGCAGTTGCAACACATAAGGAGTACAGTCGGCCTATAAATACCACCAAGACCGGATAAGCCAGGGAAACTAAGGTAGGGGGTTCCCTCTCTCTCTCTCATACCATCTGTGTTGACGCGTTTCATCTCATTGCCTAACAGTCATTTAACTCCTGCTGCAGTACTACGTCAGTATCTTCCCTGTGTTAAAACTACAGTTATTTCAATATCGCCTAAATTGACCCCCAGAAAATGGGTAAATTTTCGATAATCATGATATTGAGGGAAGGAATAGAAGGTGTAATGTTAGTTTAGTTAGCCCTGCCAGTGTTGCCAGTGATGTTATTATTTGTTCACCAGTCAGCATATCGACTGACTCCATGGCCTTATCTTAGGTGTGTGTGTGTGTATAGGAGGGCGTCTCAAAACAACGGCAATAATATAATACTTACCATTATTTTATTGTTTATTATTCGAAATACATAAAGTATATAGTCATCGGTGTGTCTGAGGGATTTTTTTTTAGTTTAACAAATTTATTGACAGCTTGTAGTACAGTTTGCCTCGTGTGGGTAATTCAATCAGGTCTTGAGACTGAGGGAGGGAGGAAGGATGGGGGGATGGAGGGATGGGGAGGGAGGGAGGATGGAGGGGGGGAAGGATGGGGGGATGGAGGATGGGGAGGGAAGGAGTGAGAATGGAGGGAGGGAGGAAGGATGGGGAATGGAGGGAGGAAGGATGGTGGGATGGAGGGATGGCTTGCTCGGTACTGCATTTTGTTGCAAAGGAGGGTGGGGAGAGACTGTAAATCTGCATCTGTCTGTCTCTTAGGTATATATTTACAACCCTTACAACAATCTTTTTCCCTTACCTGAACGATGTGTCGACATTCTCCCTCTCCCTCCTCCTCCTCTCCCTCTCCCTCTCCTCCTCCCTCCCTCCTTCCTCCTCCTCCTCCTCCCTCTCTCCATCTCCTCTTCTCCCTCCCCCTCACACCAGTATCATCCGGTTCTCCAAGCAACAACACAATTCAATTTCACCCCTCATCCCCCCTCTTCCTTCCTCCCCATCTCTATTCGTCTCTTCCCTCCTCCTCCAACGCCTCCTATACATCTCTCTCTCTCTCTCTCTCTCTCTCTCTCTCTCTCTCTCCTCTCTCTCTCTCCACCTCCCTCCCTCCCTCCTCCCTCCCTCCCTCCTCCCTCCTCCTCCCTCCTCCTCCCTCCCTCCCATTACCGAAGTTCTAGAACATTTCTTCCCTCCTCCTCCAACGCCTCCTTCCCCCTCTTCTCCCTCCCCCTTCCCTCCCTCACACTAGTAATAACTGAGAGAGCTGACAAAGTGCTGCCATCTTGTCTCACTAAGTTTGACTAAGGTCGATTTGGTGTACACGTGGTGGTGGTGTACACGTGATGGTGGTGTACACGTGGTGGTGAAGTACGTGTGGTGGTGGTGTACACATGGTGGTGGTGTACACGTGGTGGTAATGTACGTGTGGTGGTGTACACGTAGTGGTGGTGTACACGTGGTGGTGGTGTACTTGTGGATGATGACGCAATACTTGGCCTCCATCTTTATCTCTCTCTCTCTACCTATCTCCCTCGTGTCTCTGGTTTATTAAAGCTTCTCTCACATCTCGTTATCTCAAAGCTTTATCTTATCTCTCTTGCTTCCCGGGAGACCACACAGTCATGGTGACAACGTGTGCGCCTATCTCTTACTCGTGTACACATAATTATCTCTAGCCCGAGTACACATATATGTTACTCGTGTACACATATCTTCCCAATGTACACTTTATGTATATTTATGTGTAATAATAATAATAATAATTAACGGTTTATTGAAAAAGTTCTGCAGCCCGAAGGCTGAAAATATACATTGGACATAAATGACTTATTACATACATTGGTGGTTTAACAAAAGCCTTCATTAGAGAAAGGCGAAGGAACATACAGTGAACATACAGATTAATGTAGGTGTTGAACAGCAAACTCGTAGTGTAGTAACTCCCTCCCAGATGATGTTAGGAGGAACTCACGTGGTGTAGTAACCCTCACAGATGGTGTTATGAGGGACTCACGTGGTGTAATTACCTCACAGATGGTGTTATGAGGGACCTCACGTGGTGTAGTAATTACCTCACAGATGGTGTTATGAGGGGCATCACGTGGTGTAGTAATTCCCTCACAGATGGTGTTATGAGGGGCCTCACGTGGTGTAGTAATTACCTCACAGATGGTGTTATGAGGGGCCTCACGTGGTGTAATAACTCCCTCACAGATGGTGTTATGAGGGACCTCACGTGGTGTAGTAATTACCTCACAGATGGTGTTATGAGGGGCATCACGTGGTGTAGTAATTCCCTCAGATGGTGTTAGGGGCATCACGTGGTGTAGTAATTCCCTCACAGATGGTGTTATGAAGGGCCTGACGTGGTGTAGTAATTCCCTCAAGATGGTGTTATGAGGGACCTCACGTGGTGTAGTAATTCCCTCACAGATGGTGTTATATGAGTGAGGTGTGGTCCCAGGCCTTCCTATCGTAGACGGATTAACACATCGGTGGTTGTTGTTGGGTCTCGCGGGGGCCGTTATCACTGGGTACCTGGGACCTCACTGTGTGAAGGTTAACTTGGGTGCGACTGTTACTGTTGAGTTGTTCTCACTGACTTAAGCACTGTTCACCACTGTTCACCTCTGTTTAACACTGGTTCCGTTCCTTTCCTAAATGAAATTGTAACTTCTGGCGAGAACTTGTTGATATTCCGGTGGGGAGGAGGGTTCAGGATGTATGTATGTATGTATAAGCAAAGAGCCAAAATTGCGATCAGTTGAAGATTTACCACCTTAATGCTACCTGGGTTTGAGGTAAGGTTAGGTTAAGTTAGGTAAGGTAAGGTTAGGTCAGGTTAGGTTAGATTAGATTAGCATTTAGGTAATTAACCTTCAGGTGTAATTAGCTGGGGAGGCAAATCTTCAGGTAATCACAGTACAATTTTAAGCTGATCAAGATACTTTTTCATTAACTTAAAACATTTCCTGAAGGGGTTTAGTGTACAAGGGTGTTTACCTGAGGGTGGTCACGTCCCTTGGTTGACCTCTGAGGCAGCGGGTCTTAGCCAACACCAGGGAGGTCAAGAAGACAATCATGGTCGAGTAAAACAAAAAGATATATACTGAATCTCTTAGAAAGTTCTGTTATTTCAATTTAACAAAAGTAGATACAATGATACTTTTGGGGGGGGGGGTGTTTGTTTTGTTTATGTTAATTATAGTGTTTTGTGTGTTGGTGTGTTGACTCTCTTTCTCTCTTACTTATACAATTCTTTCGCGACAGTTGCCTCTCTTCTTATCTTCTCTAGTCTTCTTTTCCTTCCATCATCCTTCCCCCTCCCCTTCTTTTTCCTTCCATATCCCCCCCCCCTATCACTTTTCCCCCCATACTTCTCTCCCTCCCTCTCTACCTTATCAACGAATATTTCCTCGTCTTCACCCATTGACCGACAAGTTAGGTAAATATCTAGGTTATCACGTTTAGAGGAATATGATAACAATATGATAACGTATCTCAATAATTATCAACGGGTGGCTTTGTCGGCTTTCCTTAGTTTATGTATTTTATGTACCTTCATTGTCCACATACCTGCTTAACCAATTGTAAACCTATGTGATTATTATTATTATTATTATTATTATTATTATTATTATTATTATTATTAAACTGTAACTGAGAAAGATTTAAAGGTATATTGTCTCGGCTGCGGTTGCGACACATGACAACTATTCATTACGTCACAAGAAGGCATTTTTTTTTTCCTAATTTACAATCTACATTTACCTGGTCACTTTAAAATGAACCACCCTAGTTTCTTATGTAATTTTACCTAAACTAAGTTAATGTAACCCTCCAGATAACGTTTGATTTTTTTGTATAAAGTGTGTTAAAGCGCCATATGTTATTTATCAAAAACTACAAAAAAAAAGTTCCAGTAATTCCAACACATGGTTTTTTTCCCTTTAAACACAAGAGACTACCAAATTATTAAGTTATGATACCCAAAAATAATGTTAGAGTAAGATAACACTTGTTTATGTAGTTATATAAGAAGAGCGCGTGCAGATTTAAAGGGCGAAAGATAAATAAATACGACAAAATGAATTTAAGGAGTGTTGAGAAAGTAGAGGTGCGGGCGCCTCAATGTCTAGACTACCAGTAACGGCCACTTGATCCTCATTCACTCCAGCTGATCTTTGTGCTGAATTTAGGTCGGTTAGTTCACGCGAGGTGTGTTGCTTAAACCCTTTAGTACTTGACCGAGTTAGGAGCTTTCTTAGGGACACTTTCATCCCATAATAATAGACCATTTTCTAATTACTTCAAAATTGACTCTAATTATACCTAATATATATCCTGTGCTTATATACTTACTTATATAATGGATGTCCAAGTTTGATATTGTTTACACCTTACAGTATATATGTAGGGCACAGCTTATGGGGCAAGTCTTTGTATCTCCAACTAAATTTGGATTTAATTTATGATCTTAGGCGTGATTTTAATTTTGCTTACATTAAACATTATCATCAGGAGGTTTGTTTATGACAGTAAAGCTCAAATTACAAATAAATTTAATCTATATAAAAATCAATGGAAGATGTTCATTATTTTGCCATTATGGGGAACCTGATTTTGTTTTTTGTTATATATATCTTCTCAAAGTTTATTACGCATTTTCTCTTCGTGACATTTTCTTCAGTTTATTTATTTTCTCCTTTACTTTGGTACAACTTCACCCATCACTTAGAGTATGGTTGAGTTGTCGGCACCAATTCAAATTACAAATGTTTAAGTTGTAGAATAAATTATCTCATTTTCTGTTATTAAAAACCCGTAGTTAGTTTTCTATGATTTTTTTTTGTACATACACTCAGGTCTGATGGTCAATGGTACTGTACCTGATGGTGGGAACTTGGTCATATATTGCTTTACTAGATATTTTACTTTTACTTTGCTTTTTTATACTTTACTGTGCTATACTTTGCTTTACTTTTACTTTAACCTACCTTACTTTGCTTTACTTCTGCATTACTTTGCATTAATTTACACGTCATTGTGTTACATGACTTGATATTGTATTGCAGTTACAGCTACGTGACCTGGAAGTTTAAGAGAGTCACGTCTGGTCCAGTTTAACAAGTTTCAGTGGTAAAGGTGATAGAATCTCATTGGTTATACTTATCATTTTACCCCAGTTACTTGTGTTAGGTGAGGTGCCTAGGGTAAAGGATTTTTAGCTAAGGTTTGATTGTTGGAATTACCTTATATTGTGACGTGGGCTATATTTATGGAAAGGTTGCTCGAGGAATGCTGCACAATGTGTGGTGTGAGGAAATATACTTGGTCATAGTTATATTTATTTATTTATTTATCTATATACTATACACTTATGAATGCATCTATGGGTTCATGAACTTCAGTGCGTTAGCTCCCGGAGAAGAATGTTTGATAATAGCCAACTGGACGAAACATAATCTCGCATCCTACTGAAGAAATTGAACCAGAATAACAATTGTGTTTTAGATTTATTAACATTATTTTTTAAAACCATAAATTAGGGAAACTGTCCAAAATAGGGGCCTTAATTAGTGGAAACCTGGCCAATCCTTCCCTCAACCTTGATCCCCTTCAAAACAATACAAACCCAATACTGCTAACAAAAAGAGTACCCTTCTACCTACCTCCCTCTAGGCCTCTACCAGGACATACCTTTATATATTTCAAGAACTGATAATACATTAATACATTCATGTAATCTACATTATCATACAGCGGCACTTAACTCTTAACTTTGATGAGATACACCGATCGCCATTGCCATTGATAATTTATTCCAAACAAAAGTGTACATTGTGGTAGATGATGTAAGCTTGTTATTCTTGATCCTACAGAGAGTAATAAGCTGTCCAGGCAACGGAGAGTGAGTGACCACATTATACTGAGACAACCGACAACAATAATAACAAAAATGAAGTTCAACCGTAAACTTATACCCTTTAAGGTCCACTACTTCTGTTTCCTGGGATGTGAGTACCTTTACCAGCCAACCTGTGTGTCTTCCATTGTTTGATTAAAATTGATGAGTTTACAGTATGATGGATCACTAACTTTAAAACTGGTGAATATCTCTTGAAAATCACCAAATTTTCTTACTGTGGAGACTGTTTTTTAATTCATCTAGGTCAGTTTTGTCTAGGTATATTGGCTAGAGTGAATTTGTGGCAATATTTTAGAAGTTATGTGTATAGTACAGTACAGTCCAGTGTATGTTAAATATCATTCCACTCTATATAGATTATAATCTTTTTCTGTATTTTTTCGATATCTATAAAAAAAAAATACTTGTCTGAAGACTGCTTATCAGTATTATTTTGATAGACAATTTTCTTGACTTTTTAATACATATCAGTATATAGTACATGAAATTACAATATATTCTTTGAAAACCATGTATTTGTTTTTTATATTTGCTTGTAATATCTGTGTGACTATTTAATTCAGCATTTAAGTTTCTCATTTAGTAGTTACTGTATCAATGGGTGAGTTAATACCCCATATTACCCAAACTTATCCAGTGTCCTGTCCTGGCAGGTATGTCACCGATCCTGCCGTTCCTGATTGTGGTCGGCGTCCAGCTGGGTATACCCGTGTCGGTGACGGGCACACTGTCTTCCATCTCTCTCTTGCTAATAGTGTTCATGAAGCCCCTCGTCGCTGCCATGGCCGATTCTTTCCCCGCCCACAGACGAGCCATCTTCCTCTTAACCCTGACCTTGATGGTTACCTGCTACAGCTCCCTCGTCTTCATCCCACCTATGAAGGAGGTGCCCAAGGTCAAGGGTCAACTGGTGAGGCCTGTAGAAGCCCTCACCTCCCAAGAGAAGGAATTCAACCCACTTGTTGCAACAAATGCAGAAAAAAAGGACATTTCTAGCAAAACTTTGCTTCTGGCTCATGGTGACGGTAAGTGGTTGTTGATTAATGTTAAACCATGCAGGAGTTGACAGTGCTCAAATAATGTTATTTTGGCTGCACACCAGCTAATGTAGCAATTGGGGTGCTCATTCACTGAACTGGTGGACATACAGTATACTGTATTAGACTGAACGTTGTGGCTATTAAGCCATCAATAGTTGAATAGCCTGGAAGTCTACGCAGCCGGGATGGCTCGGTTTATGATGTTTAAGGTAAATTTGCAGTTTCAGCCCCAACTACCGTTCAACCATAAATTGTTGTTTTTCCCATGATATTTGGCCTGATTCATTCGAATTTGACCTACATTTCCGTTGGAAATGAATCGTTTTGGAGTTATCAAGTTATCATCCCCCCATAGAACCTGACCTAACCAACAAAAGAAACCTACCTAACTTCCTAGTTGTCCCCACCATATTAAACAAAAAGTACTTATTTTGACATTTGGTACCAATGAAGCAACTTTGTTGAAGCATTATGGTGTAATTTTACGTTTTTTGTGGACGTGAGAGTACACTCAGACCGAGCGGGTCAGTTATAAACAAACAGACGACACATGGTGACTGCAAATTTATGTTAATTTCTTATGTTTATCTACTATCTCGGTTAATATCTATTTGCGACAGAAGTGGTATTAGAAAAAAATGTTCCTATTAACAAGACATAACTAATGGTAAGCACAAATTTGCTCTAACCGATTTGGGGCTGAAACTGCATTAATATCGTGTTTTATGCCTTGTGCCTGTTGCAACTACTGTAGCTATTTGATTTTGTGTAGCCAGTATTCCTAGTAGTATTAATAATAGGCTTCAAGTTGACTTATATTCTTTATTACACACACTCACACACACCCACCCCTAATAAATGGTCAATCATGTTTCTATTATAAGGTGCATGTTATGTGGCAGTGGCATGGGACTGCATAGCATCATGCAGTCAACCTTGGGCGTGCCTTTCATCGAACACCTCCACGACTGACATCCGAATCACGGCCCTTCCTCGAGACAACGGCCTCAAGATCTTTCATGCTGCAGAAGAGACGTCACATTTCCATACTTTCAGTAGTGTTCCTCTTGATGGTTCTCCTCCCTTGTGGGGTGAGGCTGAGAAAGGTGAAGGGCAGGAGGAGAGAGGTCATCTGTATCAGCTGGAAGGAGCCAATGTCACCCAGGACTTAATAATGGCCAATGTAAGGTATGTTCCTCATTAAGAATTAGTTATGCTCTCTTATTTTTTACTCTCCAAATTATCCTCCTAATGTAAGGCTATACTAGTACCCCCTGTGTGGGTACTTCTGAGATTAATGATTATGAATATGTGGTCCACGATTCTATTGCAGGGTAATTAGTGGCCAAAATGACCCTTTGAAATATTTTACTGATATTTTTCAATGCTAATTACTCGTCAACTATGTGCTTCCAAGGTGTGATTTAGGGTTTGTGTGTTATTCTGAAAGTACTTAATTAGTTAAATCCCTTAAATTTCAATTCTGAGAAAAAAGTATATTTTGGTCAAAATTTTTGTAAGGTGTAAGACTTACATTTTTGGTGGTTTTGGGCCAAAAATTAGATTTTGCTGAAAATCACAGTATGGGTACCCCTGAGCTTGCTGATTATGAATATCTGGTCCACGATTCGATTGCAGAGTAATTAGTGGCCAAAATGACCTTTGAAATATTTTACTGACATTTTTCAATGCTAATTACTTGTCAACTATGGGTTTCCAAGGTGGGATTTAGGGTTTGTGTGTTATTCTGAAAGTACTTAATTAGTTAAATCCCTTAAATTTCAATTCTGAGAAAAAAGTATACCTACAACGTAGGTATTGTGTCTGAAAAAGTGGAGTTTGGGGGTCGGGCCAGTCTCTATTGGAATTAATCCCATATGTTCTGTTGTTCACTTTACGCGGTTTTCACTTTTCGTGGTACCCCATGGGTTCAATTGACCGCGTAAATCGGGGTACTACAGTTGTACCCCGCTTTACGCGGTTTCACTTAATGCGATTTCTCATATACGCGGTGCCTCGCCAGAACCGAACTTTCAGTTAACGCGGTTCATCTACCCATATACGTGCAGAGTGTCCGGCTCGAGACGCTATTTTTAGATTCGCCCCACCCGCTCCCGCCTGCTGCCTGCCTCGCCTCTCCCTCCTCCTCCTCCCTCCCTCCCTCCCCCCCCTCCATCCCCGTATGCCGACCCATCTCTTCTACTAACGTAAAGTGTTACACCTAACTTTTAGTTTTCCTAACCTAACCTTTATATTTCCTAACTTAACCTTTATTTTTCCTAACCTAACCTCTTCTATATTACTTGTTTGTTCATACCATCATAAAGTTAAGATAAAATTTTTACTACAACATAGTTGTGTGTCATCAAAAAGTGGAGTTTGGGGGTCGGGCCAGTCTCTATTGGAATTAATCCCATATGTTCTGTTGTTCACTTAACGCGGTATCCTGTGGGTTCAATTGACCGCGTAAAGCGGGGTACAACTGTACTGTACAGTACACTGAATTATGTTTCTTCATCTTTTTTAAGGTCATGATACAGTGTTGCCTTAATCATTGTACAGTGCTTTAAGGGATCAGTATCTTGCACATATAATCATCCTCAGCAATTAGGAAGTGATAAGGCAGAGACTTGTACCGTACATTTGTTATTGTAATTCCATGCTTTTAATATTTATAGTTACTGGTATGTACTGTACTTCTCTTGGGTAAAATATATGCTCCTTTACAAATATTCATCAGATTTCTTGTATTTCAGTAATTAATTTTATTTTGTCTGTGTATAAAGTACTGTACAGTATTTTGTGTGGTCCACCTCCCCCCTGTCCATCATGTACTGGATCTGTCTGTGGGAGATAAAACTGTGGAAGAACTCTTACTAATATATGACTAACATCATATGGAACCAATTTGTTTGCTCTAAAATTTCACATAGTATATACTATCAGTTAATGTACTCTGAAAGTTACCTAATCAAACTTAACATAGACCAAATGGGAACAGTACAGGATAGCCCTTTCGAGAGACGACACAATGAGAGTTGACAAAATAAAATGTTGACATAGAGCAGAAATTATTCTTATGTCAATGATTTGGGTATGTTTACTGATGCACAACTCTTGAGTGAGAATTTCTAACAAAAGTCACCCATAGTACAGTATTTTTTAATCCTTAGAAACAGCAATTCATCTGCCCAGGATAAAGTAGACATTGTAAAAAAAAATGTCTATGGTATTGTACTAAAATAAAGAGAAAATTAAGTTTATGGGACACTGTTTATTTCACCTTAATTTTGGATATTAAACTTTTGACATAATTCTGACAAAGGTATATTATGTTTCTCTTTAAGATTTTTGTAAGAGAATTCTGGATAGTAGTTGTACATCATTAAGTGAACTTCTCTTTGCCTCAGGAATCTTAGTATAGAATGATGTCAGGGAGTCAAATGTGGGGTTAGGGACTTAGGGAGGAAAGGAAGGAATGACCATCTTTACAAATCTTACATCATCACCTTCATGCCAGCAGCTCCATATTTCCAAGACTCTACTGTACTATGCTACAGCATCATGTCTTTATTCTAGAACCCTAAGTGATCACTGCTTTACGAGGTGAAATAAACAGGAACCTAATAATCAGAAGGTATAAAGTCTGACGATAACATTGAGAGAAACGTAAATGGTCTTCACATTGATGAGACTTTATGCCTACTGATTTTTAAGTACCTCTTTGTTACACCTCCTAAAATATAGTAATCATTTAAGGTTCTCAAATAAATAAATGGACCCTGTACTTTATGATAGGTACAAAAAAGTCACCTCAAGAAATACCGTAGCTACATTATTAGATCGGATTTGAATTGTGGTTTCTCGTCTTCAGCCTGGAGTGTGGGGGCGGGCAGTGGGAGGGGAAGGAATGTGATGGCTCCTGGACGTACTTGTCGTTCTGGATCTTTACCGCTCTGTTCTTCGTGGGTCAGACTTCGTTCAACACCGCCATATCAGTCACGGACGCCATCATTGTGGATACCATCGGTGTGTGATGTATTTCTCTTGTACAGCGCGTATGTATTGTATCTTTGTGTGTATAATACTGTATTTTTAAATTGACAAAAATTCTTAAATTTCATTCTTCCTTTTCATTCCTTTATACGTACATCTTTCAGAAATCATTGCCAACCTAACTTACTGTACTCTAATGATACTTTCTCCTGAGACAGCCATTAACTATCTTACTTGATACAGCAGCACCAAAATTGAATGAATGCTAGGTAGATTATTGCATATATTAATAAATAAACCATGACAGATAAGGGACTGTTCTATTAAAAAATTATTGGTTTGAACACTACTTATACTACAGTATACTGCATCAAGAATGTAGATTCTGATCAGTTGATTTCTGGTCCAAATTCTTTGTCTAGCTCGAGGACACTTGTTGTTTATGCTAGGACTGCCTTCCTTGTCCTTCCCTAGTGGATATTATAACCTTCTTACATTGTGGCAAGGAGTTAGGGCAGCTGAGTAGGTGCAGTACTTACTTCCTGTCCTAAGGGTTGCTGGTTAGCACCCAGCAAGTCTCTCCTGCTGTATATAGGTACCTAGTTTTTTATTTGGGAAAGTAAAGATGGTATACTATAGTGGCAACCATTGTGTACCGGAGGCTTAATATTCATTGTTGTGGATCCACTGTCTCTGGTTTATGGGACCCACTTTTACACTATCAGTTTCTTCAGTGCCAGAGGAAGGATCAGGATAATGTTTAGTTATGAGAGTGAACTTTGTTGCCAAGGTTATGAGCCACAGTGACCTGGTGGGTTCAGTCATATTGGTGGCACAATAGAACAATGAGCTTCATTCACACAGGACAGGATGGAGACTATGGCATCCAGAGAGCTTGGGGCACTGTGGGCTGGGGTCTGATGGGGCCTATTAGTGGGCTACTCATAGACTGGTGGTCTGGCTCATCCCTCACCAAGGACTACACCCCTGCCTTTCTCATCTGCTTCATCCTGGGTTCTACTGATGTTCTTTTATCTGCAGCTTTTATAAAGGTGCTTCAAATGGTTCAAAATCCTTTACTCATATGATCTAATTTCTTTCCAATTTTCTGTATCACAAATTGGAAAACTGTAACTGTACATATTTTATTATGAACTCTAATTATATGAAGGTACTCTGCAGATATGAAACCAAACAGCTATTACTTGTATCAGTCCTGGAGAAACACAAATTTAATTCCTAAATAACTTTTCAGGTTCCAGAAATAAAAATTGAACACAACATTTGGAAGAAGGTTTGGCCTGTTCTCCGCCAACCAAGGTTCTTCGTCTTCTGCTGTTTTGTCATCTTGAATGGACTTTTTGATGGTGTCGTTGCAAGTTATATATTCATGTAAGTTGTGTCATGTTTGTTTACAGTAAGAAGAAACAAAAGCAAAAAAGTTCTTGTAAAAAAAATATCTAGTAAGGTAAATAAAAGATATGAACAATGAGTAAAGAGAAGTTTGTCATGTTGGTTCTTCAGGACACCACCTCTCTGCTGTCATACAGTATTTCAGAGACAAGAGTGAGCATATACCACTTGATGCGAGAGTTTGTTGGTGTGTAAGGAATATTTTAGGATAATTCTGCATCTGGCCATCCATAAGTCCTCAGGGATAACAAAGTAAGATACAGGAGGATGGAGAGATAACACAGTACAGTAGATACATTAAAGAACAAAGAAGACACATAATGTCAGTGAAAGTCGTACGAGTATTTTGTGGTATAATCTCATGTTGTTTATTTATATATTTGTATGAAAAATAATGTGAATAATTATTGAATATATAATATATACAGGTATATTCTTTTTTTTTTCTCAGAATGCAAGAAGACATGGCACGAGGAACAGAGGCTATGAGTTATATGAAATTCCTTCAAGGGCTCACACTTTTTGTGCAGTGTGGTATCGAGGCGCCTTTCATGTTTATTAATAGTAAGTACCTCCTGTGGACGGTGATGGCAACTCGTGGTCATTAAAAAACAAAAAAACATTTGAATCTCATCATAAACTCCTGATTTACACCATCAATGTTCAGGGGAATAAACAAGAATCACTCCAATCCCATGTGGGAACCTCTTGGGTAGATACATGGGTTGTGGAAGCTGCCTCACCATCACCAGCATATTCCTCAGCTTTGTCATTCAAATTTCCTTAAGATTCACTGTCACTATGCATGGGGATCATCCTTGTCTCCAGAATAAAATATAATGTCAATTTTCTCTTGCATGGGGCACCACACTTGAACGAATGTGGTACACCTAGTCTCAGCCACAGCCTCTCACCGCCTTGAAGCAGTTGCCGGAAACTTTCTCAGAAGATGCTCAGCAAATAATAAACATTGGAAATTTAAATTGGGTCCACGAGAAATAAATCACAACAGTTGTGGTTAACATGTAGAACAGTGTGACCTTCCATACTGCAACTGTTGTGGGATGTGTCTGTCAGGGGTTAATAGTACTGTAGTGTTATGTGTTAAAGACAGAAATCTGGACTCACATTTACGTCCAGTGTACAGTAGATAAGATGTTGGGCAGGGCCGGATTAAGCCATGTTGAGGCCCTAAGCTATGTCATCCTGGGAGGGCCCCCAGGCCCACCAGGCCACTACCATTTAAAATACATTTTTAAAAATATTTTCCTAAGATAAAGTGGATGAGAAGTTATACTATCTGGTGATACTCACAGTAACTAAATTATGGGTGTGGCAAGCAAGTGTTAATGAATACAGCAGGAAATGGATATATATTTGCCAAAAAAAATGCAATAGACTGGGTAGTGTATAAATTTTATTAATGATACATGTAACAGCATTTGGCAAGTTGGTACTACAGTACTGTACAAGATAATTTTGTATGATACCAGAAAACTTTTAAGATTTTTTTTTTTGTGATTTTTGGACAGCAAAATCATTTATGATGTCATCAAATGATAAACTGCAAAGCTTATCACTTTCAATATACATAATACCTCATGCAGTCAGTTTTCCTTACAACATAGTGGATCACATTTCATTCTTGATGGTTTTCAATCTTGAGAATGATCTTCCCCTGAACAGTTTGTGACCATAAGGCTCAAAAAGAGTTTTAATATTAATTCAACAGAACCGATAAAAGAAAATGTACCGCACTATGCTTCGTTCATATTAATGGGATAATTAGCTGATTCTTCTAGAAGCTGAATTGCCCCACGAAATTTTAAATTTTAGGACTGTTTATTCATACTTTCCAGTATTCACCAAGAAGAAAAAGGAGTGTACACACACCTCAATCTATATCTACAGTACTTATACTGGGTATAGCATTACTTTTTCATTTATGTTATTTTTCTGTTTACCATTAGTATTTACTCAATTTTCAATATCAATTGTTTATTCCTTGATAGAGGAAGCGGGATCCTAGTGCTGTCACTAGGTACCCCTGTACAATGACACCAGAAGCATCTGGCAAGTGTGACAAGTATATACAGTATAAATATTATAAAGGGGCTTACTAAAGCTTAAGGAAGGAAGGATATTCCTTTTACACATAATCAATATTATTTACAAAATATCTGGCCAGTATGGGGAGGATCATCGTGTCTCCGTCAGGGGGTCGTGGAGTGGTGGTCCAGCAGGCGTCACGGAAGCGTTGTGTGTGGGGACATCTTAGGAGGTAGTGGAAAAGGGTGCTGCTGTCGGGTCTTCTGCATAATGCACAAGCGCGTTGCTCAGGGGATGCGGGGATACCAATCTCCCAAGCAAACTCATACCCAATGATGATACGGGCAGCAATCACGTCCCCTTTCCGCGACCCTTTCCCGTAGACGTACGAGAGGTCAGGAAGTTTACGAAGATAGTATTTACTTATTTATTTTTACTATTTTCAACTCGGAGAGGCCCCTCTGACCTGTGAGGCTCTAATGTATAACTTATCTAGATTGTACCTAAATCTGCCACTGTTGTTATGGTAAGATGGATTTCTCTATGGTAAGTTAGGTAAAGTTTGGGGTAAGTTTAGGGTCATTATACTTGGATCACAGGGAAGCTCAAGTAGATGTGAGAGCTGTCAAACAACGGATGAACTTATGATTATTTACATTACTTTCCAGACTGGTTTATGCAGAAATTTGGGGCTAACAATGTGACCTCCATTGTCTTCTTCCTGTACATCTTCCGGCTGCTGGGACTGTCGGTGGTGGGTGCCTACGGTCCCGTCTGGGCTACGCTCTTGGTGGAGATCTTAAATGGACCTTGTTATGGTCTAGGGTACACGGCCATTGTGGTGTACTCAGCCAAGGTGTCGCCCCCAGGGACCAGCACCACCGTACAGAGTGTTGTCAACATCTGTTATGAGAGCATCGGTAAGAAACAAATTTTCCATTAGTAACAGAATTTTGAAAAGTTATCTGGAGACTAGAAGATGTCACATAAAGATGCAGAACATAAGAGGTGCTCATGGGGGTGTACAGCAGTGGGGTGAGCAATGTTTAATATGGCTGTGGTGTGGCAAGACTTATTTGTTTGTCAACTTTCACTGCCTCATTTGGGTGATGTTGTAATATTCTACTGTATATGTACAGTATATTCATTCTCTCTCATTTATTCACATTAACACAGATATGTTCTACTATGTTGTTCCTCTTTCACATCAAGGTGATATGTCTGTCCATCACTGTTCCCCATACACAACCCAGCATCACATCCATCTCTTGTGTAGTATGTATAAAGAAGTTAAAAATTAATTATCAATACCTCTTCAACCTTTTACAAATATTAATTGGAGTTATTTATTACCAGGATATGCCGTCGCGTTATTCGTCGGTGGATTATTATACTCAAGTCTAGGGGGACCAGGAACCTACCTAGTGGCAGGCATCACTGCTACCATCACCTTTGCCATGCACTTCATTGCTATCAGATTAATGCCACCACCAGAAAGTAAGACTTTCTTCTTATTACCCACAGTAACTTTCTCTTTTGTTTTTAAGTTTTCTTTTTTGTCCATCTTACAGTAGAGAAGTGCTAACTATGACCTAAGTGTGATTATCTGTTTGGAGTTGACTTTGGTTATCCATGGAAGAAATACTGTACCACGAGCTGAATATTGTTAACATTTGTCCTAGCTCTCGTATTGACACTGTAAATCACATAATCAAATTTTAGCTCGACAATTAATTAGTACTGTATAGGCAATGACAGTACATTGGTAACTTGGTAGAAATGATAGGAATGCTGTACTGCATCTGGATGAAATGGACCCTAACAGTGTGTCTTGTGTAACAGCAATAGTGTGAATGAAGAACCTGATCACTTAACTTGGTTTTTGCAACAAATTGATAACGTGACGGACAACTTTTCTAGGATGTAACCCCATCTGTAACTCATGGGATGCCCGTATTTTGAATTAGTGATGAAGATGAAATTCACTTTTGTGTACATTTGAAATTACGAGTAAAGATGTGTGGAGATATATGCTGTATATATTATTACATGCTATCTTGGTTCTTTCTTATTATTGTCCATACTCCTCTTGTGTCTTTCTTAATCTTATTTCCCCCATTTTTTTTAGGTTTCTGTACCTCTGTGATCCCCCCCCCCCCATCATAGAGGAGTGGGAGAGGAATGAAGATATTAGGGATTATCTGAAGACTAACCATCCTGACCTGACCTAACTAAACTAACCTAATACCTCCCCCTGGTAGCATTAGGATGTTTGCTCTTCAGATGAAATAACCTGTAAAGACAAATGATCAGGTGTAACAATATTTGATAGCTTGAATAATTACATTCTTGTATAGACTATTCATTATGAAATGTCAACCCTCTTTCTCTCTCGTCCTAGCTTGTGATTGGCCAGTAAAAAAAAAAAGAAAGATGAATGAAGTGCTGTCAATTGACTAAAATATGCTACCACAGAGGATACTGCCACATTACCCAATCACAAAACCGTACTTTATATTGCTGGGCAGTGGAGGCCGAGTGTGACATTTCCATAATGAACAGACTAAAGTTTTGTGCTGTATTGATATAAGGGTGTTGCTCTTTCAGTGTCTGAAAACGGTGACACCTTAATGGAACCACCGGGTAAAGACATAGAGAAAACGGCGCTGAACGTAGACAGCGTGGCTCCGAGTAACGAGGGAGAAAACACATCGGTGGGGGAAGACAGAGAGTCGGTGGCGGAAGACAGAGAGTCGGTGGAGTTACAACCAGAAAACCAACTCTGAAGAAGTGCAAAAACCATGGAAGAAAGACAAGAAGCTGAACATTGTGAGGAGTACAGTATGGGTAAAGCAAAATATACCAGTCAGCTGAGAATGTTAAGAGTGTGTAGTTTGTCTTTGTCTTTCCATGACTGTTGGTAGACTGGGAAGAAGAAGAAGAAGACAGTAAGTGCCAATCATTTTGACGTATAATTTGTGATATGTGAAACTGTACAGCGCTACAGTTTTGGTGATACTGTACAGTGATTAAGGAGAGAATACTCATGTTATAGTCTTGTTGGGCAGTTGTATTAAATTCACGGGGCACTTTTAATGTTAAGTAAGGGGTACACTTTCAATGTCTAATTCGCAGGGTACTTATAATGATAATTAGAGTGCAATTATAATGAGAAATTTACTGAGTACTTATAATATGAAGTTCACAGAGTTCTTGTACTTATAATTTAAATTCACTGAGTACTTATAATATGAATTTTGCAGAGTAGTACTTGTACTTATAATGTAATATTCACTGAGTACTGTACTGAAGTTCACAATTGGGGATTAACAGAATTACAGATAGGCATAGAACTATCAGATAACATAGTATGCACATATGCAATCATCTCTGAGCATACTGTCCAGTATATAGATACATCTGAGGTACACTAGTGAGCTTGATTATATTATGAAGCATTGAAACCTTCTGCCTTATTTAGTTATGATAAGGGCTGATATGGATTTGATCCCACGTGGCTAGCTCATTTTTTAACTCGTTAATGAATAAAAATCCGTTCATATTAAAAACAATAGTTTCACATCAAGAAATATTATGTGTATATAGAAGTGCAGCTTTTTAATGACTATTAATATCTTTTTTATCTGCTTGATGATAACATTCTAAGGTTTTTTTTTTAATTAATCAATTTCACCACTTATTAACTTATAACCTGTTGGGCATTCAGACTCTTCTCTGTTACGCACAATCATCTGTTCTCTGTTACATGCACCTCGTTCCTGTTTTCACCTTCATTGTTCCTTATAAACACAAGTTAGTTTTATCTAAAATAGTCGTAAAGTGAAGTACAGTGAAGCATGTTAAGTGATGCTTAAGTGAGTGATCTTTTCTTTACTAGATCTCCAAGTATGAGCTGAACTTGTTCGGTGTACACCCCATGCACGTGACACAGCGTACACCTCATGCACATGACAGTGTACACCTCATGTACGTGACAGTGTACACCTCATGCACGTGACAGTGTACACCTCATGCAAATGACACAGTATACACCTCATGCAAATGACACAGTATACACCTCATGCACATGACAGTGTACACCTCATGCATGTGACAATGTACACCTCATGGACATGACACAGTGTACACCTCATGCAAATGACACAGTATACACCTTGTGCATGTGACACAGTGTACACCTCATGCATGTGACAATGTACACCTCATGCACATGACATAGTATACACCTCATGCATGTGAGTGTACATCTACTGCGCATATGACATAGTACAGTACACTACATCTCCTAAACTTGACGCACCAACCTAACCTTATCTATGTCTCTCATTAACTTACCTTCGTTATTTAAACTTAAGAGTTAACCAAACTTAACCTAAACCTTGAGTTTACTTATTCTACGTGACTTAACGAAAACCTGAAATTAATGTACAATATTTTATATAATTTAAACTTTAGGCCTAGTGTAGATAGATTAATTTAAAATTTGACCTAATTTAAGTTTAAAGTTAACTTAATTTACCAAACTTTAACCTAAAGTTCACATAATTCACCTCACCTGAGACTGAAGTTAACTTAACCCTTACGCTGGCCACTCGTTCGGTCCAAATCTCACCCATAGACTAGTCGATGAATGCATAATTTTTTTCATTGAATTTTGTTTTCATTTACCATTTATGGGTAAAATTTTGCAAATTTCTTCTTCTTTTAATTGAGTTAAAAGGATAAAATATCTGACTAAGTGATCAAAGAACAAAATAGTTCCTAGAAGTGAATTGGGATGGCTGAAAATGAGTGTGGGAATATAATATCTTATGCACCAGTGTGAGCGTTGAGGGTCGTGGGAGACATCTCACTTCTAACAGCCCACATACTGTAGTGATGCAAATGGCACCAGCATCCGGCAAAAGGGTTAATGTGTTCTACCTTGCCTAAATTGCCTTGAACTAATTAACCAAACTTAATGTACTGAACATTAACCCTCACTCAACCTAAATCGTTCATCCATTGTGTCATATAACACAATTGTAAAAATACTTTTTGGAGCATGTACAGTACAGTGCAGTGCTACAGTACATTGTTTATATCAATATTGATATAAAGCTATGACCCAGGGTGGGATGTCAACCAGCATGAACAGGAGGTAGATTATTGTGTTGCGATTTAGGGGGCCATCTACACCCAAGTTAAGACACTGTTGTTAATCAGTTCCTGTATTATGTAATTTATTTTATATACTGACAACCCATCCTCTATTATGTTATATTATACTGATAACAAACCCTTTATGTAATAAGCCATATGGTGATGATTTATATATTTTTTGTATTTACTGTATTGATTATGGTAAAAAAAATTTAATTAGAATCTTGAGGCAGAAAATAAATAGTGTAATGACTTAATGTGCCAAATGATGTGGGCCAGTTCAAGGTGGCCAACTTATAGAACAAGATAACTTAAAGTGAGGAGTATGACAACCTTCATTATTTTATAAAGTAGTGGTACTAACTACTAACCAGGGTGATTCCTACTTATGAAGAAGCTTGGCAATACAGTAGTTATTAGACAATGGTTACTGTACTTAAAAGACCAGGGTGACTCCACTTATAAAACTGACTAACTATCTTGACTGACCCGTCGATGGTATCAAGCCACACTTTGCTGGAGTGAGTCTCCCTCATGATGGAAAACACAAATTCAGTCAATTCTTGAAAGACAGGTCATTTTTGGACTGAAATTCTGCCATAAATTCTTTATTAGCGACTTAATCTCTTAATTTACAATTAGTATACTTAAGTACTGTTTACTCTTATTTTTTTAACCATAAACAGGAATACTAATAGAAATTAAGAGGTATAGCAACCTCAGGTTATTTAGTGCAATTTTTTTTTAATTTAGTGAATTTTGTCTGTCCCTATCCGATGAAATAACCCCAGGCTACTTTTAATTATGAACATTAAGTGATGACATTTCTCTCTTGTACAGAAAGAACAAAAAGTGATATCCCCATTAGCTGGAATAATTGGAAATGAGATTTTTCCAGGTATGGAGATGAATTTCTCGTACCATAATTTTTCCCGGTACACCTTCTGGGGTAAGCTTTCAGAGAGTCTAAACTCATCTCGCATGGACAGACACAGAGCTGTATTTATTTATGGAAACACCTCTGTACACATACAATATATTGTAAATAAATGAAGTATACTGCTGTATACACTATACTTTACTCGCTAGCAGATGCTGTCATGGTGGGCTTGTGATGCCGGCTGGCTAAATGGTGATATGATAATACAGGATGTCCTGTATCATCTACTGTAGTATGTGTTATCAAAGTTTCACTCTCCTCTCCCTCCATGAAGAAGGGATTGTACATGCACTGTGTACTGTACTTACACACTAGCTGACAGTAGACATATACTGTCCACTCAGCTATGTACAGTACTTTCACACTTAATGAATTTTTCACCTAAATACAAAAGCAAAGTGTTATCATGTGTCCTGTCCGAGGCTGGAGGACTACTGTTACTAAGGCCGCGACTCACTCCCTGTGTCGGAAAATGTATCTTCTTAATGATGATCGACACAGTTGACTGCTCAAGGCCAAGTATTTTCACAAGGTAGTTTGACCCTTCACTTCTCTTATGATGCTGTATAATGTCAAGCTTCATATCCAAGCTCAATGACTTGAGGGAGAGCTTGGCCTTGCCTGATGAAGGAGGTGAAACAGCAATATGCTTATCTGTCATTTTTTTCAAAGTTCAGTTACTTTACACAATATCACAATAGAGTACTGTTTATGAACAGTCAGTACAGTACTCAATAGCCTGTAAAAGTCACAGCGATGTGCAGCATTAACAATGATGCACAGCTATAGTGTATGCAGCACTAACAGCGAAGCATGTAAGACAATGATCAAATGACAGGTGGTAAACATTTTGTACAGTACATGGCGTGGGTGGGTAGGTGGCGTGCAGGTAGCGTAAACAAGTGACAGTATAGATGCACAATTGGAGCACAGAGTTTTTATGTAACAAACGGGAAAGGGTGTTAATTCTATATTGATAAACCAAAGTATCATTAAGTGAATTAACGCTAAACTAGGGTTACCTGTACTGTATACTTAATGTAACTGTAATAATTTTTGATGTCTTACACTGCTCTAACACTATATTCTTTGCTGATTGTGTCCTGGTTCAATAATAAACAGTATACTGCACAACACAATTGTATGCCTTTTGCAATGGCAGCAGAATATGAACCAAGTGTTTGAGCCTTTGGCCTAAGTTACTCAAGCAGCTAGCCCACCCATGTGCCCGACATGTGGGGATGCGTAGGAGTTTCATACGATATCTTGGAAAATTGGTCCTATGCCTGGAACGAAGAATTTTGGGGGGAAAATGCACATGACTCGCGACTTCATCCTCAGAAACTTGTTCCCATGCCCAGAATGGAGAGATTTTCCCAGGAATTTCTCAGAAGGTTCAAAATTCATTCTAGCTATTGGAGAGTTTTGGGTACCGGAGATTCTCGCTAACGTGAAGATTATTTATTCAGATTAACACTAGACAGAAAAGTGTTGATGGCAGTAAGTGAGGTAGCCAGGAAAGGTGCAATGAAGAAAATATAGGGAAATTGTGACACAGGGAAAGACTACTGGCTAATAGGTTGACAAATACAGTAGTGAACAGGATAAGTAACTGATGCCAGAAAAGTTAATGTAGTAGCAAGAAAGGATAATTTGTGTTGTGGTGTCAGAGGTGTTGCCTCATCAACAGCATGACGGTGATGTAACGAGAGGAGAAAATATTTTAACATGATGAGAAAATTTGTGACAGAAGCCAAGAAAATGACTTGAGTATCAGACAGCCATGTTTAAAGGTCATATACATCATGCTAACAATACAGTATTTCTTTCATAAATGTGATATATATACAGTATACTATACAGTACAGTATATATATATATACTCTGTATAACTCGCTCATGTTAGATATGTGTCCATTTCACAATAACTGTGATAATTATGATAGTACAGTATTATTATTATAGAGGCATTCCATCCTACATATATCTAAACAAATTCAACATACATTTATTGTATACCAATGCTGTATACACATCTTGCTCAGTGCAATACAGTATCTCTGTGTGTATTTTGGCCAGTGCAGTGTGTACTTATTTAATATACTGTGCACGTGTTAAAAAAATCCTGAATGTGTATTGAATGAGAATATTTAACGTGTAAAGTAAAATATGTGAAATACTTTACTCTTATGTGATAATAAATATTTCAAAATACTGAACTGTATTAAATTACTGATAAAATAAGAATCAAATCATTCTAAATGCAAATTAAATCAAATGTACTTCTTTTATTTTCCATTACTTTGTAAAGCTTTATTATTATATCAAACACCTACTACTCTCAGTCTACCACACACATACTGTGCAGTACTGTACTACCACACACGTTAATAGAAAATTGTCAGGGCACCGAGTGTGAGATCATTCAAGACCAGCCTTAACCAACACTGGCACAAGTACAGAAACGTTCTGGGAGCCAGTACATGCCCACTACATATTGTACTTGTCAACAGTGCTTAAGGGAGAGCCAGTATTTGCCAACAGTGTGTAACAGAGCCAGTATTTGCCAACAGTGTGTAACAGAGCCAGTATATGCCAATAGTGTAATAGAGAGCCAGTATATGCCAATAGTGTAACAGAGAGCCAGTACATAGCAAGTATTTGCCTACAGTGTGTAACAGAGATTTGGCTGACTGACCAAGGCTAACAGACTGACAGTGGTGAAGAGGATAAAGTAAAAAAAAAAATTAATAAATTCATTATTTCTTCTTTAATTAAGAGATCCAGCTTTTGTTGTTATGTACTGTATATATTTTTTAAAACCAAAGATTTTAGATTGGTACTCACTTTTTTCCATAATCCTCAAGAATTCCTTTCCTATTTCACTCTGTTCCTCTATTTCCATAATCATCATTAATTCCCATTCGGACTTTTTTTGAATAGCTTATCATCTTCCTCCTTGCATCCTCTCTCCTCTCCTCTCCAGCTCTTCACTGTTAAAAGTCTCTCCTCTTCAACCCTTCTCTCGTCTTGTTTATCATTTCTCTTCTCTTCCTCCTCTTCTCGTTTATTACTGTTTGTTGTCTTATTTAAAGGCAGAATATCTTTCTCAGTTACTTCTTGCAGTTCCACCTCTGTTGTTTTTGTGCCTGTAAAAAGAAAATAGAAAAAAGATAGATCAGTAGACAAACAGACAGATAACTACACAGACAGACATAAATTGATATATAGATAGACAGAGAGAGAAAGATGTTCACTTTACAACATAAATATACTAAAACAATCAATAAAAACTTGTATGCGGGAAGGTGCAAGAACATGTAGAAAAGTTTAGGGAAGTGTAGAAAGGTGTAGGGAAGTGTAGAAAGGTGAAGAAGAGAGTGGTAAAGTATAGGTACAGTATGCAGTATCTTAGGAGGTAGTAAGACTCACCTTGAGGGTTTGGGAAGAACTTGAGGTACAGCAGATGAAGGAAAAAGGTGAAGGAGGCCAGTACACCTGTGTAGAAGTAGAGCATCGATGCCCCAACACTCTCGTACACTAACCCTCCAAGGAAGCTGGCCCCGGCGTACCCTGCCAGAGAGAGAACTAGTAAAATGATGTGTAACCTTCAAGCTGCATCTATAACAGCATACCCTGTCATAGTGGAAACTGGTGGTGACTCTAATACTGTGTGCAGTATAAAGGCATAACTTACTGTTATGTAACTTGGAGGTTAAACCTGATTGAAGTTAGTATAAAATGTCTTTGTAATCTGGCGTGGGTTGACACCTTGAGGAGGGGGCGGGAAGTGGTGTGGGGCAGGTGGTGAGAGGGTTGGTTGGGCAGTTTTGGTGAGGAAGGTGACATTACCCTGAAGTAGTCTCACCCAAAGTGCCGTAGCAGAGGCTGACGACGCTCTGGACGGTGTTAGTGGTTCCTGGAGGCGTAATGCTGGCCGCGTGTACGATCATGGCCGTGAACCCCAAACCAAAACATGGCCCGTTGATCACCTCGATGGCCACCGTGGTCCAGACCAACCCCAGCATACTTACCAGTGCCAACCCCAGCAGTCTTATGGCATATAGGAAGAGTACCAACGCCATCACTCCCTGGGAACCCATTTTCTTCACGAACCAGTCTGGGGGTGAATTAGAAAGGGAAAAAGACCAATATCATAACCTTTGGGATGCTAATATCTTCATGAACCAGTCTAGAGGCAAGTCAAAATCTCTGAACTGTAAGGAAAAAAAATAATGCCCCAGCTAATGCCCCTCTGTAACATCTAACCTAACCAATCAAACACAAGATCCTGAATGACACTGATAAAAAATGAAAGGGAAGATAGCCGAGATACCTAAACAATAACAAAACTTTGGGCTGATTGTATGCATTTTTATATTATTTGTTTAGATTTTAATTTATACAGTATTTGGGAAGAACAGATGAACTTGGTGTGTTGGTGACAGGAAAGTAAGGTGCAGATATAGATATTCCCTAACACCTGAGCACTCCTAAAGCCCTGAACCTGAAAGAATGCTTTTGCTGCTTCCTGGACCTTATCTTTCTCTTCAGATCTTAACTCTAAACAACCCTTACCTTCAGCCCCTTAACTCCTTCATTACAGGGACGCTAATTTCAATAATTTGTTTGGCTAACACTGGATGATTTTATTCAGCTCACAGGTGACACCTTACACAAGGGGTTAACTCTACGCAGTTCTAACATCCTTCATCCCTTAAGAGTATCATGAGCCTGACTCTCCAAACCTAACTTAACCTAAACACTCAGATCTAACCTAGGCTAATTAACCAAATCTAACTTGACCTAACCTAATAATTACAGTATTCAGTAAAATTGTCAAACAGTTTTACAGTTGGATAAGCATGTTTATAAACTATGCAGGTCTACAGCTCAGCATGAATACAGTATAGACAGTGTAGATAAACGGTGCATGTAGGTCGTGGGAGTACAGTGACCCCTCGGTTAACGAACTGAATCTGTTCCAGAAGGTCATTCGTTAACCGAAAAGTTCGTTAACCGAAACCATTGTTTCAATGGGTTTTTGGGTAATTGGTTCCAGCTCACCGAAAATTTCCTAAATTCAACAAAAATGGTAGAAAAGTTCACTTACTTTGAGGTGTGTATGTAGAAGGCTCCTGGATGATGATGGGATTTAGAATGGGAGTGGAGGAGAAGGAAGAAGAGAAGGCATTGGGGTGGAAGAGAAATCACCCCATGGCGCCATTTCACCCATAAAATTTTAGCTCTCTTGGTGTAATTCAAGATTATTTTCTTTAAATCAACACTGCACTGCATTATATATTGTCAATATGTAAAATATATTTCAAAATGACCAATAAATTGCTTGGAAACACAGAAAAAAAGCGTTTAGTTGAAGAGAGTCTCAAGCAAGACGTTACCTCCAGTGAAAACAGAGAGAGACTAACGCCTGTTTGCTGTGTTAAGAGGCTGGATGCCGCGCATTAAACTAGTCACTTTACCTTCAATTATGTTCAATAATTGTTAAAATGACTAAAAAATTGAACATTAAACTTTTAAAATTATTGAATAGTATAAACTTCTTGATATTTACCAAAATAGTAAGGAATTTAAGCCCTAGAACCGATTAATGTATTGGTGGACTGATACTAAAGCTGGTTGCCCGGTCAGTGCAAGCGAAAACATGTTGAGGTCGGTTCGTAAGAAATTCGTTAACTGAATTGAAGATCCTTATGGAAGGCAGTTCGTTAACCGAAATTTCGTTAACCGAGGCGTTCGTTAAACGAGGGGTCACTGTATACAGTTTCATGTGTGCTGAGACAGTGCAGGTAAACAACAAAGGTAAACAGAAAAGCAATTTGACCAAGGATAGTCGACACAAAGCTGTGAGATGTTTATCAGTACATACAGTATTCGATTTTTAAAAATTTGAATGTAGATCCTTAACCAGCAGATAAAGGAAGTGCATGAAATCTGAACAAAATCTACAATATTACGTCATTTGCCAAAAAGCAAGGTAATAGATCAAGCGTCTCGTCCACGACAAAACACTTTTTCTCTGGAAAGTGAAAACTTAGCATATTTAAATGGTAAAGTTAGACTACATCACTGAGAAAATATATATGAAGGTCACTTAAATATTACGCGCACAGCATACTAAGCGTTTTAATTATTCTCAGGCACAGTATTTGATTATTTCTAGGCTCAATAATTAACACTAATTACACTTCCAGGAGGGTCCATTGTTTAGGCTTACACTTGGTCTTTAATCAGTAATACTATGTCTACAGGAGTATTAGTGAAAGTTTTTTCATAAAATTCTGCAAGTATTATAATGCACATGGACTATCTGAGGCAGGTGGATTACTTAAAAAATACATTCTATGGTTAACAGTACAGGTACTGTATAGAAAATTGACCACGGATACCAGCCCATTGAAAATCCTACAAGTGTGTTCAGCCTCAATTGCTTGACTATCCATCACACTGAACATGTTCAGTGATTGAAGAACTTCATGACTAAGGTAATTTCTTGCTTTCTTGTCAAGATTGAACCTCCCCAACTTGTTTTAAACAATTTGCAGCTTGTAATTTAGCTTCTGTGTTAAGGCAGAGTACTATGACAAGCAGGAAAAGTCCAAGTGACAATGTATGAGTGCCAAACAAAGGGTGGTATGGGCATCAGCTGTACAGAAATTTTACTTTGGCATTACTTTTTTAACTAATGGTATATTACCTACGATTAATTCAACAGACAAACAAAGAGTCAGGAGTTGGACAGAGGTATTTCAGTGAGGTAACAGTTGAGTTGGTTTCATTCCCATATAGCACAATGAATTTGTTTACCTTTAATAATTTTCTTTTAATTCAAATAATGTTACTTCAGTCTTTCCAAGATGTAGGTATAATTTGTTGTCTATGAGCCATTATTTGCATGACTCCAGTTCAGATGATAACTTGTTAGCTATATCATTTGGATCTTTACCTGACACTATGAGAGCACTGTCATTGGTATACGTACTGTACAGCAAAAGCTTACAATCAACACTAATGGGTAAATCTAACTTAATCTAACTAACCAAATCTTACCACAGAGGAGCATGAAGGGGAAGGAGGAGATAGCCTGAATCAACATGGTGAGTCCTTGTAGTAACTTAATGTGTTGCATCACAGACGACCCCTTTGCTATGTCCTCCTGCAAGCTGTGGTGAGAGAGAGGTAGTGTGAGGTGTGGTGAGAGAGGGAGTGAGGTGTGGTGGGAGAAAGAAAGTGAGGTGTGGTGAGAGAGAGAGATGCTCCCCAAAAAATTTCACACAAATTCTTAACAGCAACAGATTAAAAAATAAATAAATAAATAAAAATCCTCCATCCTACAAAAGCAAAGACCATGAGACCATCCTACAGGTGCTGCTACAGGATGATACTCACACGAAGACGTATCCTACATCAAGGCCGTCGTAGAAGCCAATAAGGAAGGCGAGGACGAGGAAGATGAAGATGTGTGGCTGGCGGAGGAGAGGTCGTAGCTGTGTCCAAACCTGCGTACCATCCATTAACTTGGGTACCTGGGGAGATAGGGAGGACCCGTAGTGATTTGGGGAGAAGGGGGGAGGGGCTCTAATGATCTGACCTGGGGCGAGGGGGGGGCTTGTAGTGACCTAATATGAAGATCTGTAATGATTTGGAGAATGAGGAAAACCTGTAAAGACTTGGGTAAGACATCTAGTAATCCAACATGACCTTGAAGGGATGACAGGAGGTAGAAAATACACTAAAGTGACCAGATTGATGATACAGTAGCAGTGTAGCTCTCAATACAAATGTACAGAGAGAAGTGTGAGTGTACAGTACAGACTGCCGCAACAACAGATGTTCACGAAAGCGTAATGTTATGCATAATGTTATCAAAGTAGGAACAACGTGGTGGAAAGAATAAATGAGATGATATATAAAAAATGAATATGTTGAATGAATGTATACAAAGCCATGAATATGATGGAGGAGGAGAGTAGATGTTAAGATACGAGTGAAGCTTATAGGAGGTGAGGGCCAGGTTACCTTAAACACCCACTTCGGGAAAGGTGACAGGTAGAGCAGACCCACCTTGAGATAGGTAGTACACAGGAGGATATCTATGGTCCCAAAGCCCACCATCAGGAGGAAGGCCGGAGAGTAGTTCTTGGTGATTGATGTCCCTGACCACCAGTCCACCAGCAGGCCGCTTACTACCCCCAGCACGCCGTAGCTGAGGGCACCCCAGGCTCTCTGACTCCCGTAGTCCCCTCCCTCACCTGTGGGGCTGTGATACTGCAGTTGATGGCCTCACCCCAGGTCCTCAGAATTTATGTAGACTTTTATGATGACTTTACTGACTACCGGTATCTGCCTGTCCATCTATCTATTCATCTATCTTTCCCTCCCTTCATCCATCCACTAGTCTATCTATTTATCTATCTACCTATATGGTGTTGCTGAGAACCTTACTAGTTATAGTGTTGCAAACATAATCAGTGAACATATTATTACAGGTTTTATGATATTTTCCCCGTGCAATTCTGAGTTCATTTTTGCAGGTCTTTTAATTTCTATTGCAGTTCAAGTATCCAGTTATTGGATGAATTTGAGCGTATGAACATTTGAGAATCCTGACTTTGATCCTTGTGATTTGTTATCATTCTTTTATCTAAGCACACACATTAAAAAAGTCTCGCGCAGGGGGTCTGCTGAGTTCCGTAATGATCCATACATCACCTGATGTATTCATATGCAGTTATACCATCAACTATATATACGGCAGGATATGTCGTTAGCAAAAGATATGTGAGGATGCCCTCAGGCAAGGACAGCGGGACTACCACCACAACACAGGAACAATACGCATATTCCACTATTCCTTGCCTGTGGTGTTATATTGTTTCGCACATAATCCATGCGGTACTTTTTTTACTGTGTGTACATAGACACTCATAGCACACTCACACAAACATATGCACATGCACACATACATACATACATACAACACACACACACACACATACATACAACACATGCACACACCCAAACACCGAGGCACACAAACTCACACACCACATACCGATGATGTCACAGCAGATGGCATCCGAGATAGACTCTGCAGTTAAGGAAGCGACCTGACCCACCAGCAGAAGTACCACATAGAGCCAGAAATGACCCAACATCCAGGGTGCCACACACTCCGATCCTGACCACTCACCACCACCACAGTGTAGGCTAATGGAAATAATTTTTTAACAGCTTTTTGGGGTTAACTTTGGTTTAATCTACTTACAGTTTACCATTGTTTATATACCTGCACTGTCTATGTACACTCACTCCAAAACAGTATCTTTATGGAGGGGTCAAATGAATTTCAAAATAAACACAGTGTCTCCTATTGTCTCGGTAGGGTTGTGTTACATTGTCTCGCACAAAACCGTAAAGACACTTTTTGGAGCAAGTTTAACCGTTAGTTTATCTTACTTTAATTTTATTCACTAAAATCATCATATAATTTTACATTGAATGACTGAATGATTTTATTGTGAATTCATCACATGAACAATAGACTATGAGTACAGTATGAACAAGTTACAAGTAAACATTTATCATATATAGTAGTACATATAACAGAACTACAAGGAAAACATAAACATTGATTTAGCATGTGTGTAGGCAAGGTAGCTATACAATTTAAGAAGAAGAGGAACAATATACAAAGACAGTACAGGTATACAAAAAATGTACCTAGACAGTGAGGGTATAAAATACATGTAATGGTAAACAGTTTGGCAAGGCAATTTGACCAAGGATAGCCAAGAAAGCCATCAATGTGAAAGTGAACTTGTACAGTATGAAGATTTTAGTAATTCTTCTTCTACCTATCTATTTACCTTCTTCACAGATAGATATCTGCGAAGAAACACCTGGCATAATAAATATTAATTACCTCAACATCTGGTACAGTATATTATGCCTTGACTCACCTTATATTGAAGATGTCGGCATCTGCCTGAAGACCTTCTATAAGATACACATGACCTCCTTCTCTTACCCTTCCCCTTGGGGTCTTCTGCTGGATGTTGGTAACCCTCACTTGGTCTTCTCTCCTTGGGACATCTGTCACTCTAGGTGGCTTTGAAAGCTCACCAAATTTATGTTCCCTTGTTACATTATCAGGAGAATAAAAAGCTCCCAGTATCTCGTCTTTACCTGGAGCGTCTAGCATCCCAGGTTGGAGATGTGATCTTGTGAGATCATTTACATTATGTTTAATTGTCATATTTTTAATCCCAGAGGTGTAGGATGTCTCCTGGAGGTGGTGAAGGTTTGGGGCATCCTGTGAGTGGATATGGGAAATCCTGAGTTCATTCACTGGGAGAGATCCAAGAGGACACGTGTGTGAAGGGATGCAGGTGACTACGCAGTCCCAAGCTTCTGTCACGTAACACCTGTCTGAGGATGATGAGGGAGAGACGCAGTGATGGAGGGTTGTGGTTAGCTGACACACAGACACACAAAACATAATATATTTCACACCAAGAATTTTACCCAAATAACCTTTTCTCTCCACCATAAAAAATACAAACCAACAAATTCTAATCCTACATCACACAGGGACATAAAAACAAACAAAAGATCCCCAAAACTTAGCCATAGCACAAAATTACCTGATTCCTTGGTAATGAACCGCTCAACATCTGTCTTCGTGCCCTCTACATATCCTCTCAGGACTGGAGGATCGTAGAGCGGAGGCAGGAACCCTAAAGGACCGATCGCCAGCACCATGGCAGTCAACAGGCCCAAGAAGATGGATTTCCTGAGTGCCGGGAAACGGTCAGCGGTGGCAGAGATGAGGGGCTTAGCGAACAAGGCAGTGGTGATGATTAAGGCATTAATGACACCTTGGGTGCCTACGGGGACACCCAGCTGGCGGGCGACCACCATCATGAAGGGCAACACGGAGGAGTAGCCTGTACCATGAACATACAGGTAATATTAACTGTCTGGTAGTCATACAATAGTAGTACATGTAGTAGAAGTGCTGTAGTAGTAGCAGCTATGGTAACAGTAGTGGTATAAATTAATATTATTTTCATTATTGCTTTCATTATCATCGGAAACCATCAACAAATACATCACATAAACAAGATTCAATTAACACTTACAGGCCCAGGACATGAAGAAATGGACCTTTATAGGCAAGAGGGTCTTATTCACCTTCATGGTAAGTCTTCAGTCCTGCAACATAAACAAGATTATTATTAGAGTTTTTATACTGGCTCAATAATTTTCTGGTTAAGATTCAGAAAAGGTCAACCACAGAACTGTTTAGTGATTTGTATATAGGGAGATAGAGGTTTAGTTCTTTAGGTCCCTTTTTTGTCTTGTTGGGTTAGGTCAGGTTTACACACTGGGGGTACGTGGGGCTCAACCCTCTTTGATAAAAGGTCAGTTCAGGTTTTTCTGGTTTCTCTAGTTAGGTTAGTTTTGACATGTATACTATACAGGTTAAGATATTTGAGTCATTAGGTTAGGGTCTTGATTTTTTATTTATTTTTTTAATCTATTTCCTCCACCATTTTTGTGATGTTCTTGATAGTCTGAAGAACTTTTCGTCTATTGAAAAGTTTCCTAACTCCTCTCCTTAACCCAGGCGCCTAACTTAAATACAGTATTACACACTTTATAATTTTCTGTAATAGTTTGGTTAGGTTTGGTTTTGTCAGCTTTTTGCATTTTATCTTACTCTGCAAGTCATGCCTATTTTGTGTGATAAAAAATTGCAGTTTTTAAGAGGAATACAAAATTCAAAAATCAAGTAAAATATACATTTTTTCCGAAAACGTTATAGAGTAAAGTATTATTTTGGTTACTCTATCTCCCCATATACATATCAGTCCAGTTGTGGTTGACCTTTTCTGAATCTTTTCCATTAATTTAAAACAAGTATTCCATTCTAAATTACAGTAAATAGGAAAAAAATATTTAACTGCAAAAAAAAACAACAACTAGATCTAACTATCAGAAGACAAGGATAATAAGCCTCTGTGCGTCTCAACACCGTAGTCAAACTATAACCACTGATTCTCTGCAGAAATCAATTGATTATCACAGTCTACACTGCTTACACTTCACTATCAGCTTAACACCTGCGTAAAATGAGGACAAAGTTAACTCAAATATACCATTAAAGGTCCAACGTGTGTGTGTGTGTGTCAGTTTAACCAATGAGATGTCAGTTAAATATGCACCAATACAGTACCCAGTTGTTCCCTTTAAATGTTGTAGTCCAACTAAAGTGACTAGTCTCTTCCCGGTGGTTGTGTTTGACCATTACTTGTACCGTACTGTATTAAGATAATTAGATAAGAAAGATTAGGTTTGTGTCTCACCTGCCGCTGGTGATGTGCTGTCTCACCCTGACCCATCGGTGAACGAAAATAAAGTCAAAGGAAAAAAGTTAAATGACTTGTACACATGACAACACAATATATATATATGATGGCATTACACGTAGGTTAGGTTTTTTCGTGCACTTTTTAAGGTGACTTTTTTCCTGGACTTGACGTATCAGTGGCAGAGGATAAAAGTAAAATGAGTACAGTACTTCATATCCAGGTATTATCGTCCTAAAACGTTTACAATAGATCATTCTTCTCAAGGGTTAATACTTTTACAATACGTATCCAATGAATTGCTTCATTTATATGTGTTCTTTGAAGTGTGTACTGTATCTTGTAGTGTTGATTAAGCGGATTTGTGATCGATTTTAAAATGGTGAGATATGTACAGTACACTTACCACTGTTCACTGTACCACCAACACTCTTAAGCATTTCTAACACGAATATACAGTATATTACTCAGTTAAATATATTTTAGATTATTATTAGTAATTTATCATAATAAAAATGCATTTACTCAGTTTATTAACATTAAAGAGGATAAAAGTAAGGTATGGCGCATCACCACATGTCAACTGGAGGCTGGAGCCAAATGTTTGTAAACAAACTCACGTGATCGCGAGACATTAATAATTCATAATTATCGACAATTGTCACGTTATTAGAGATTTGAAAGTTGCTGTATGTATGTTTTTATAACAGTAGTAACTCGTTTACTTCGTGTCTCAGCAGCGTTAGTGAATCTGGACCCAGAGTAGCCTGTCGCTGGGGGTAAGGGCCAAGGGGTATTTGAGTTATATAATGCATTCATTGTTGTGAACTTGGGGCCAGTGTTGCCAACTCGGATTTTCAAATGTCGCTAGGCTGGTACCTAAAAGTAGCTAAATGTCGCTAAATCTTCCATGGAAAGTCGCTAGCTATTATTCCCCCCCTTCAGTAATTTGATGCAAATAATATTTTCATAATGCCGACTATAATGGACGGAGTATAAATAAAATGCATTATATAAAAATATCATTTTTCAGATTTTCTGTGAAATGTGGCGCAAGAATATTGCATATTATCCCAGAACACTTTGATCTTTTTAACTTGAGTTCACTGCCTGCCTTGCTGTCACTAAAACATACTTTACACACTTCACTTAAGTGTTCTACCACACGAATAGAACAATGTTCAGCTACAAACATAGCCAGAGTTCCCTCCACTTTTTTTGCTTCACCAAGTTTCTTGAATGGTAAAATTGTCTGTCTTTCTGCACTAAACGGCTCTTCTGCTTTCTTGTGTTTTTTAGTGTTTTTGTGTTTTTCAATGTCGCACAACTTAGCAGACAAAGTACACTTGCAAAATTTACAAAATCCTTTTTTATTATCTCCTGGCACCTCCAGAAGCCAATTTTGTATCTGTCATCTCTGAGCCATTCCTTCCTAAATCGCTGCGAATACTGTGGCTTACCCATTTTCTATTGGGACTATGAAGGGTTCAAATTAATAAACAGCATGCAAACAAGCGGAAACTTTCCTTGATGGTTTTTGGCAAAGCGGGTGAACAGTGTCGGGGCAACTGTATGGAGTCTATGGGTCACCCATGGTGGACGCGGATGACAAGTTTGGAACCACGCAGGCTTGATAGAATTAATTCTATAAGATGTTTTGCTAATATTCTTTAAAATTTAGCGTATTAATGAAATTCATATTGCATATCTGACAAAGAGGTAAGTTACCCAGGTGCTACAAAGGCGAAGGTAATAGACAAATAAATGACGACACGGCAACATTAGCCATGGACGGGCTGACATCAAGTGATCAGGAAATAGACGTGTCCCTCCTTCTGTACCACGACCCGTTCAAATGTATTAAACTTTTCTTATTATTTATTGTCCCTGTAACCCCGTTGCTATATATTATGGCTCGAAATTAGGAAAACTGAGTTTTCATGGACAGTCCAAAAGTATCCAGAAAGTCGCTAGATTTCTGTGGATATCTCTAGATCGCTCTAAAATGTCGCTAGAAAAAACAAAAAGCTCTAGATCTAGCTACAAAGTCGCTAAGTTGGCAACTCTGCTTGGGTTTTAATAAAGTTTATAAAGAGTTCCATATTATAAATAATGTAAAAATATAATTACTATTAGTAGTAACTATTTTATTAATCTATAATATAATTCGTTTAGACTAAACAACGATATATCGCTATTACATGACCCGGAATTGGTAAACAAAACCACAACACACCAGCAGTGTTGCCAAAGTGCGGAAATTTCGTGTTTACTCGGTAATATGACTCTACGGGTATGCGGTCCCCATATTTCATGCGCTATGGCGACCGCATACCGCAGCATTGCGGAAATATTACCGACTGATTTAAGAATTATATAACATTACTAACTTTACTTTAAAATTATAGACGGTTTGATATATGTTAATCAATACCATAATAGCTATTTTAAAGTATGATCGGTGCCCTCAGAACTTACATACTGAATAGACATGCCTATAATTATCATGTAGGCATAAATAAGCCCATTTTATTTAAATACATCTTTATTCATTAGCAAGTTAAATAGGATGGGCAAATATTCATGTGACTGAAAATACTTGAATCAATAAAAACTATCTCAAAGAAGACATATCTCGAGGTAACATATCCCTCGTACGACCGTCAGCTACAAAGAAAATAGTTAATCAATTGTTGTTGTTGTGGCAGAATAAGAGCTTCATAAATACATTGTAGTGGATTCCTCCCCTACAAACGCTTGTCGCTGAGTAGCCGACCCCACCCCGCGAATTCCCCAGTGTATGCCTCGTGGTCTAGGTCAACCAGCGCCGCCTTACATGACGGAGGTCAACTATTAAGCCACGCCTACCTCCGCTATATAAGACCTGACCTCGTGGTGACCATCCCTTCTTCTACCTACACTAACCAGCAAGCAACACATCCTCCTCCTCCTCCTGCCTGGCGGTCCTCGCTCCCGCCAGCGAGCATGGCGACCCACAAGCTGGTGGTCCTCTGAGCATCCTCACCAATCAGCTCTCTCTACATCACGCCTGAAACCACGCTGCCACTGCCCAGCACCAAGCTGCATTGTACAATATGTATACAGAGAGCACATTGTGAGTTTCCTTTCTCCATCCCATCCTGAGTGTGAACCAAATAACCCGTACCCCACAACATCTCTTCTGGAGCCATAACTCATACAATAGAACATAAATTATAATATATCTTTACGATTAGGGGTTCGTATGACTACTCAGAATCAATACATCTTCGGTTAATAATAAATGAAATCTGACCTAAAATATTACTCAGAGTGAGGCTGACGTTGTTGGTGAGTGAATTGTATACTGAACATTTCCTGCTTTCGATTCCACCATTAGTGGGTGGCGGAAGTGTTGCTTTATGGTCCAAGCTTGATTACCCGTCAGTCACATTCTGTAAAGGTTCACTCCAGAAGGCTGAACCACTTTCCGTAATATATATATATATATATATATATATATATATATATATATATATATATATATATATTATATATATATATATATATATATATATATATATATATATATATATATATATATATATATAAGAACATAAGAAAATAAGGAGTCTGCAATAGGCCGGTTGGCCTGTGCATGGCAGCTCCTGTCGAGTTACTCCCACTCTCTATCATCCATGAATCCATCTAGCCTCCTTTTGAAACTTTCCGGCGTTCCAGCACTTACTACAAAGTTGCTAAGCTTGTTCCACTCGTCCACCACCCTATTTGTGAACCAGTTTCTCCCTATCTCCCTCCTAAATCTAAACTTATCCAACTTGAATCCGTTGCTCCGAGTCCTATCCTGCTCGGATATTATAAGAACTTTATCTATATCCCCTTTATTGATTCCTTTCACCCACTTAAATACTTCTATCATATCTCCCCGCACTCTTTGTCTTTCTAGGGAATGCAAGTTAAGTTTCTTTAGTCTATCCTGATATGGAAGATATCTAAGTCCCGGAATCATTTTTGTCATTCTTCGCTGCACCGACTCTAGTGAATTTATATCCATTCTATAATAGGGGCACCAGAACTGAACCGCATAATCGAGGTGTGGCCTGACTAGCGCAAGATATAGTTGCAATAAGACCTCTGCACTCTTGTTACTTACACTTCTAGATATAAAACCCAATACTCTGTTTGCCTTATTTCGAACATTAACGCACTGTTTTCTAGGCCGTAGGTCCGGGCTTACAAGTACCCCTAGGTCTCTTTCACAAGTCGACTTCTCTAGGTTGATGTTGTTAAGGCTGTATACATTATAAGTATTTGTTCTTCCAATATTAAGTACGCTGCACTTGCTGGTGTTGAATTTCATTTGCCATTTTTCAGACCACCCCTGCAGTTTATTTAGATCCTCTTATAATGCATTTGCATCCTGCCCTGAATTAATTTGCCTCCCTATTTTGGTGTCATCCGCAAACTTGCTTATGTCACTGCTGATCCCAGTATCTAGATCGTTTATGTAGATTATGAACAAGAGTGGGCCTAGTACAGTACTGACCCCTGGGGAACCCCACTGGTTACACGGCCCCACTCAGATTTAACACCATCTATGCTGACCCTCTGCGTTCTATCGGTGAGCCATGATTTTATCCAATTTAAAACTTTCCCCTCGATACCATGAGCCTTAATTTTTCTCAAAAGCCTCTGATGCGGTACTCTGTCAAATGCTTTGCTAAAGTCTAAGTAAATAACATCGTAATTTTCGTCATTATCTACTACCTCGAAGACTTTCCGAAAAAAGTTATATATATATGCTGATAACCACAAGGAAAGAAGAAAACACGAAGTTCCCAAGCGCTTTCGTGTAATTCACATCTTGTGGTTATCAGCATATACCTGGATCACGCCCACCCACAGTGTATGGACTTGCTTAGAATACGAGATTTTAGTATTTGATACTTTTTGTCTAGTGTAAGTAAATCTTTGTTGTTGAAGCGCAGTAATACATTTAAACAACAACAATAGATTATAAGTAAAAAAAAAAACACACTTCAGCTGTTATCATAGAATTGCTGTTCAAAGTGATAAATGGCATTCTTACACCGAATCTCTCTACCTGTCATTTTTTTAACACTCCGCAATAACTGAGGTGTGAGAAGACTGACATTTACCGAGTCGTTTCGTTACCTGTTTGTGTTCAATCAGTGCTTTACTTCCGTTATCGCCCACAACCGTTATTCCCAAGCGGCGAAAGAGCGGATCAGCCGTGAAGAGGATGAAGGTAAAGTAAAAGTACCTGCTCTACTACCGTAACGGACAATAACCCTGGCTATGCCACCATCATTTCTGCCACGCCATCTACCATTTTACCGTATATCATTCTGTTGGCACCACATCCCTCCCATGGCTATACCATTATCTGTGTGTGTGTGTGTGTGTGCTTTCCATTCCTATGGGTTTCTATCTCTACCATCATAAAAGCTTTCTTATTTCATCGCCATTGTGTTGGTACCATAGTTCCTGCTATACTTAGGCCACTCACCTGTTACCATATCATTGCAAACATAATCTCTTGAGTGTTACCATAGCCATAAACATTGCTATACCATAACATCTACCATTACAGCCACGATCTTTAACAGTACTATCATCTACAAATATTACTACCATAACCACTACCATAACCACTACCATTACTAGTTGTTTTTAACCATTTTCAACAGTCGGGTTGTTGTCGTGTGAATTACCTGATCCATTTTCGTCCTTAAAAACGTCTCCCACTTTAAAAATCCGACAGGCGTTTCTAAAAGACGAGATTCGTCATCCCGTGTTAAAAAAATCTCACACTATTTACTGTACAGGAAGTGAGTGTGTGGTTTGTTGATAAATACTATGTGAGTGTGTGGTTTGTTGATAAATACTATCATCTCGTAGGATTTTTTCTTCGGATTTAAGGATTACTAAGGGATTTAGAGATTATGAGCAATATTATGGTCAGTATTATAGGTGAAAATGGATACGATACTGATTTTCATACTTATAGGACATACTGTATATATAAAACTCACTCCCATTATAACTGTGTCTTCTTTAGCTTTTCATTGGTCACCAGTAGACGCTACAAGAACGCTGTGGAAATATAATTTTTTTCTCATTCAGTGCATATTCTAGATTAATAAAGACACTAAATATCAACATTAAAACATAAGACATACCATTACCTAATATACAAGAGCGATTACATATATTTGTGATAATGTATTTAGTTTGTCAGAGCAGGTTAGGTGAGTTAGGCTAGGCTAGGTTATACAGTCCTAGGTTAGGTTAGACAAGGTTATGTTATGTATTTAGTATAAGTCAGGTGAATATTGGAAGAGGTCAAAGTCGTCTTTATACACACGGTACAATCCCACCACCTGTTCCTTAGTCAGGTTCCTCATGTATGTTTGCAGAACTGTGGCTGTGTTAGACGGCTCGAACACGGGGAAATGAAGATCGTCAGGCGCCCCAATTCTCCGTAATATTTCTTCCGAATCCTCTGTCAGAGTTTCATATTTAGCGATGTAGTTATAATGGACGGTACAAACATGACACAGCTTCTTGTACGTCGACCAGTGTTCATCCTCCTTATAACCGCCGTCGATTATGTACGAGATAAACTCCGTCCACTTAATATCTGTCTGAGTGGCGTTGGGTCTGATGGTCTGCACATGATTGAGAACTTTACGTTGGAAATTGGTCTCTGAGATGCCAGCTACTTTGTCTTTATAAGCTGAGAGGAGTCGCTCGTAGGGATGACGCACAATCAGGAACTTAGTGTAGACAGCCAACTTGCCTCTCAGGACTGATAACTACAAGATAAATAATACAAATTAAAATGTATGAATGATAAAAATATTAATACATGTTACTAATTTTGTTTTATTAAGAATGAAATATATATGAGAGAATGAAATGTCATACTAAATTCATGTTATATTCGTCAGGATGTTCATAAGCCGGCTGGGAGGACACACACACGGACGCACACACGGACGGAAGGATATATATGTTTTAGCGCGTGAATACATTGAATATTTGCCGATACATACATTCACACACCCTCACCACACTCAAACCAAACACACTCCCACCTTACGGTTCTCCTGTTGAATATCTTTATCCAGTATAACATGAATATCACCGCTGGTCTTCTCTTCCTGGGTCAGGGTGTTGTAGCGCCCCGTCAGCCTCGCCCACAGGAGCTTCCAGTTAGTACAAGCCACCTGAACCGTCACCAACACTCCGTTAGTTCATTCATCCAATAAGTACTCAAGACCCGAGGCGAGACTGTAAGAAATTGGCGATAAAAAGAGTAATATCTAAAATAAATATTAATATAGCCTTCCCATCAAATAATATTGCGGAAGATCTAAAGGGAAACGTTATTAAATTCACAATAAAAGAAAAAAAAATCTCAAATTATGCATTAGTATTTGGTTACGGTTAATTTGGTAAATCTTCAAGGAGACTTAAGCAGGGGGCTAATATTCATGTGGTCTGTTATACATTTGTTATTGGTTACGTCACCTTGGGGATGAAACAATACATAGTTCGATGGCGGTCGTCGGTCAGGAGCCTCTGTAACCTCGGTTGACTGATGAGGACCCGACGGAGTTCAGAGATTGGATTAGTACCCCTACAGCCCTCCATTAGCGCCTTCTGCCTCCTCTCCTGCTGCTTCTCCCATAATATTACACCTTCTTTACTGACGAGGCCTCCATCCTTCTGCCGAGCCTCCCACCCCACCCCACCGTCGCCTCCTTCAGACAGGGTAGGTGGTGGAATATCACGCCCTGGGTACCACACGCTGTCTTTTGCTATTATAAAAAAAAAGTGTTGGGTCTCGTGATGATTATATAGCCACTACCTCCCCGGCTTACTTCACCTGATGATTAAACACTCTAACGCTACCGGTGGGGGTTATGTTATGTTTGGTAAGGGTTGGTTATGTTATGTTAGATTAAATTTGGTTATGTTATGTTAGGTTAAAATTGGTTGTTAGGTTAGGTTCTGCTAATATTAGGCTGGTTTAAAGTGAAATAAGGTAGAAGGGCTAATCTTCAGGTGATCCAAAATGAATTTCTTGAGATTTCAGTTTCGTGGCACTAGACTAGTTAAGACTGAGTTTACTAAAGTTAGTTTATACTCGGTCGGATTAATTCCTAGAGACAAACTGCGTTTTATTTTATATTTACCATCGAAAGGAACAACAAAATTACCGTAAATGACAACCTCACCATGACCACCGTGAAGCACTGTTTCATTAAGAAGTATGAGTTGACAGTACGGTGTGTGACAGTACAGTACGGTGTTTGACAGTACAGTACGGTGTGGGACAGTACAGTACGGTGTTTGACAGTACAGTACGGTGTGTGACAGTACAGTACGGTGTGGGACAGTACAGTACGGTGTGTGACAGTACAGTATGGTGTGGGTGTGACTGGTGGAAATATCGAACCACAACTACGTCTAAGGTACTGCATGTATATAACTCGTTTTCTTCTAAATCCTCAATTATTATTCACATCTCCCGGTTATTAATAAAGCACTGGGATTTTATTCGTGTGGATTAATGTATCAAAACAGAGAATGATCTTACGTTTACATGAAAAACAAAAAAAATCCCGGTTCACTTATAAATGAAGGAGTTACGTGCTTAATTTTACCCCCCCCCCCGCGTACTCTCCCTTTCCTCGCCGCCTTCCGGGTTAAACAGCAACAGCACCTAACGCCCAGTGATTATCAACGCTAAGAACAGCTGTTTGTAACATAATGGCCTTAAGGTATGTCACATAAAAACGGAATCACAGGTTCGAGTCTCATTTAATCCATTTTGTCTGTAATAATTATAACGTGAATATAGTGTGCACTGTGCAGTATTTAACGACGTTCATAGCGGATCACATCTCAATGATTTCTTTTAGGAAGGTATATAGTTACCCACAAGTCCGAGCATAATACAGCTATAAAAGTCCCCAGAACACATTACTCACAGCTAAAGCAATCTACTCCACAACTATAATTAATTTCGGTTACTTGTGTGTGTGTGTGTGTGTGTGTGTGTGTGTGTGTGTATGTGGGTGTGTGTGTGTGTGTGTGTGTGTGTGTGTGTGTGTGTGTGTGTGTGTGTGTGTGTGTGTGTGTGTGTGTGTGTGGTGTAATAATAATAATTAACGGTTTCTTGAAAGAGCATGGCAGGTGGAAGTCTGAAACATACAGTTATAAGTAATATAAGTGATACAAAGATGATATACAGTATAATAACTAGGTGGGGAGCAGCTCAAACCACAGGACAATTCAACATAGTGACAGTGCAAAAAGTAAGATTGACTGGGAGTGAATACACTGGTTGATTACAAGTCACTGTGTGTGTGTGGGAGAGAGAGACTTACCCAAGGAAGGTAGACTGTGGTTGTGAGGAATTTTCCCTGGATTAAACCTGCAAATATATTTAAAAATTAACTTACTTCACTGATTCAGAAATCTCAAGAGTTCCTAAGTGAAAATTACTTTCTAACTTGCGATGAAGGAAGGTATTCGTACACCCCCATTACTTACCACAATACACTCAGCAGTACAAGAGACAGGTATGGGTATATCTTCAGGCGCCAGTGCATAGTGTGGGTGTAAGAGGCGGAGGTGTACGGCAGGTTGGGTGTTGCGACTCCTGTAGTGAGAGACATTAAAGGTTTTAACCCACTACCCGCAGACACAGACACACACACACACACACACACACACACACATAACGCAAAAAAAACACATGAATATACACAAGCAGATATACCCAGAAGGATATATAATTACTGGTATATTTGTTCAAGTTATGGTAATTTTATATATGTCGGGGATATTTTCTAACATTCAGTTATATTTACTATTTTCACCAATATTACTGCAGCACTACCACTACTGCTACTACTAATAATAATACACACTAACCTACCACAACCATCACCACTACCACAATCTTACCTACCAACGCAGGCTATGCAGGAGGTTCCAGCCAGGCTCACAGTTCACCTAGGACTGACGAGTCGGATCTACGAGGAGCTAAAATCGGCTGAGGGTGGCTGGGGGAGGCTATGGTGGCTGGGGGAGGCTGGGGGAGGCTATGGTGGCTGTGGTGGCTGGGGGAGGCTAGGATGGCTGAGAGAGATTATGAAACATTAGTGAGTTGGGTGATTTTGTTTAAGGTGTAAAATAATAATAATAATAATAATAATAATAATAATAATAATAAGTCATTATATAGAACGAGATTAATTAAGGCTCGTATTCCGCTTTTCAATTTGACGCACGGAGAGGTAAGCAGAGATTTCACATGAGAGGTGGCGGGATAATATAGATTAATTACCTTATATGTGTATCTTCAATTTAACAAACATTAATATGACTCCTAAAAGTTACTCTTACTCAGAGGTTTAAATCTGCGTGTCCTCACTATCTCTGACTTCACGGGGCGAGATAAGGTATAATAAATATTTTGTTCCGTCTTATTGGCCAGAGATATATTAAGCTATAGTGTACTATCATGACAATTATCTTTCCGATGAACAGTTTATTGTGTGTGTTGGTAATGACTACAGACGGACAAGGGGAGACCTAATTGAGGTGTACGAGTATAAATATCTCAAAGGGCACTACTTAGTTGAGTGTCCTTATCTGGAGCTGGCGGACGCTAGCCCACAAGGGGTCACAGCTCAAGGTTAAAGAAGCCGCAAGCCCAGGGTAACTTTTTCGGAGCGAGAGTTGTAAACTCTTTGAACAATCTGCCAGAGTGTGTTGTGACGGCACCGAGTGTGAGCTCTTTCATGACAAGACTTGACCAACACTGGAGCTGGTTCAGATACATTCAGGAGCCGGTGCATGCCCAGTAGGGTTTCCTTCCCGGGATCTCTGGCGTAAGTGGTTATGTTTTTTTTTCCGGGAATTTGGTTCAAATCCCGGGATTCTTATTGTTATTCCTTATCTCTGATTTGCACTATGTAAAATACAAAAACGCATGAAAGAGGAGAGAGAGAGGGGAGAGGGGAGTCTGACGGTAGTGACGCGTACCGTTCCTGTACACTTGCGGCCTTCACCACGTCTTGCTTCAGAGTTGCCAACTTAGCGACTTTGTAGCTAGATCTAGAGCTTTTTGTTTTTTTCTAGCGACATTTTAGAGCGATCTAGAGATATCCACAGAAATCTAGCGACTTTCTGGATACTTTTGGACTGTCCATGAAAACTCAGTTTTCCTAATTTCGAGCCATAATATATAGCAACGGGGTTACAGGGACAATAAATAATAAGAAAAGTTTAATACATTTGAACGGGTCGTGGTACAGAAGGAGGGACACGTCTATTTCCTGATCACTTGATGTCAGCCCGTCCATGCATCTAACACCCTAAAATTGTGGTCAGAAGTGGCAAATTACAGAGATGCGACAGGTGAAAACCCTTACCATGATCTGGCTGAAATTGCACTCGCTGCCTTATCTCTTCCGCATTCAAACGCAGATGTAGAGCGCACATTTAGTAATATGAACTTTGTGAAATCAAAATTGCGCAACAAAATGAAACTATCGACATTAAAGGCAATTCTTACAATAAAGTATGGGTTAAAAAGACAGAACACCTGTTGTGCAAGTTATGAACTTCCTAGTGATATTTTAAGAAAGATAGGGACTGTGGAGGCATACAGTTACAAGAGAACCTGAACCAAGCACTTCACATGCTTCCAGCTCTACAGTTGTTCACACTACGGAGAGGACTGGGATGCAATTACTATTGAATAATAGGTAAGTGTGCACATTAAACTTTAGAAAAAATAATATTTTTATTTTTATATAATGCATTTTATTTATACTCCGTCCATTATAGTCGGCATTATGAAAATATTATTTGCATCAAATTACTGAAGGGGGGGAATAATAGCTAGCGACTTTTCATGGAAGATTTAGCGACATTTAGCTACTTTTAGGTACCAGCCTAGCGACATTTGAAAATCCGAGTTGGCAACACTGCTGGCTACTGGGCTTAGTAGTGTTTATCTCCCTGGAGAGTGCAGAGGTGTGTTGACTGTCGAGTAATGTGTCTGTATATGATGTAAGCCATGATATAATGGTGTATCTTGGCTTGCATGATACGGAGTACGGACATGTGACAGATATGATAAATTAACATAGTGCATACATAGTGTTAGTTTTTTTTCAGGTGATTTCACAGGTTATTCAAGTACTCGCTTTAGGTTTTTGTAGAATGCGGCTTCCAAATGGCATTAAATATAGAATTCTTATTTTTTTTATAAACTTTGAATGCCATTCCAAATGTCTGAGTTTCTTTTATGGCTAACGGAATGAGATTAATTACAATTTTGCTTGTTTAATCATATGTACCTATTTTTACACCAGTATGCAAGTTAATAAAGAGAACTTTGCTTCAGTGTTATATAATTTATCATATCAGTTGCCTATCAAATAATCTACAGATACTACACTAATGAAGTATGTAGGGTTAGCATATAGCATTAGTTAGTACAAATATCACCTGATGCCCAGTACTTGCCAACAGTGCGTAACAGAGACGTGACTGACTGTCCAAGCAGCAAACGAGCCGATCAGTGGTGAAGAGGATAAAAGTAAAGTGGAAGTAAAGTGCTGTACGTCTGCTCTCAAGTGAAACAAGTTAATCTCTTCTCTTTTCCTGTAAGTAAGTGAGATTGAAGCGAGTTTTTCTTTAGGTCTAAGTAATGAAACACGAACTTTCTTGTGAGTCTGTGTGATAGTTACAGAACTTCATAACAAAAAACATAAACAAACTCCCAAAAATTACTTGATTCTTAAATTAAGAAGTTCTCGGCGAAGAGTTTAACTTAACCTAGCTTAACCCAATCCAACTAACCGAACCCAACCTAACTCTACCTCCTCTGGGCATTAAACAATCACCGTTGTCAGTCTGTCTGAGTCACGGGTCAAATTTGTATTAACGGTGAATTTAACTGTTACTTTGGCAGAAAAATGTCAGGAAGACCAGCAATAGGGATAGACCTCGGCACGTGCAACTCCTGCGTGGCGGTGTTCCGTGATGACAAAGTGCAGGTGATCGCCAATGATTGTGGCAACTACACTACACCTTCCTGGGTCGCCTTCACCAGCACAACACGTGTGGTGGGTGACGCCGCCAAGGACCAGGTGGCCACCAACCCCGTCAACACTGTGTGGGGCGTCAAGCGACTTACTGACAACAAACTCAGTGACGTGAACGTGCAGAGCGACATGAAACACTGGCCTTTCACCCTCATAAGCTCCAACATGAAGCCCAAGATTGAAGTAACATATAAAGGTGAGAATGAGACACTGTACCTTGAGCAGGTCACCGCCATGGTGCTCAGCAAGCTGAAGGAAACCGCTGAAGCTCACCTGGGTACTACCGTGATGGACGCGGTAATTACCGTTCCTTCTAAATTCAACACTTGTCAGCGCCAGGCGACCAGGGATGCTGGCACCGTCGCTGGATTAAATGTGCTTCGTATTATAAGTGAACCCACAGCGGCTGCCATCGCCTATGGTCTTAGGAAGAAATTTTGTGAAGAAAGAAATGTTCTCATCTTTGACGTTGGTGGCGGCTACACTAGTGTTTCCGTCGTGACCATTGGTGACGGAACGTTTGAGGTCAAGTCTACTGCAGGAGACACACACCTGGGTGGTGAGGATTTCGACAACCGCCTCGTTAATCACTTCCTTCAGGAGTTTAAACGTAAATACCAGAAGGATATATCTGGACACAAACGTGCTCGTTGTCGCCTCCGTACAGCTTGTGAGAGTGCCAAGCGCTCACTCTCTTGCTCAACTCGGGCCAGTGTTGCCATTGACTCCTTGTTTGAGGACATTAATTTCTACACTTCAATTACCCGCAGTCAATTTGAAGAATTATGTGCAGATTTATTTCGTGGTACACTAAGGCCCATAGAGAATGCTCTTCGTGACGCTAAAATGGACAAGGCTCAGATTTATGACGTCATTCTTGTCGGAGGCTCCACTCGCATCCCCAAGATCCAGAATGTGGTTCAAGACTTCTTCAATGGTAAGGAACTTAACAAGACCATCAACCCTGACGAAGCTGTAGCTTGTGGTGCTGCCGTCCAGGCTGCCACCCTGCGTGGTGACAAGTCAGCAGCTGTGAAGAACGTTGTAGTGCTGGAAGTAACTCCCTTCTCCCTGGGCATTGAAACTGCAGGAGGAGTGATGAGTACTATCGTCAGGCGCAACACAACCATCCCCAACAAGAAGACAGTGTCCTACAGCATCAACCAAACTAGTATTGTAGTCGCAGTCTACGAGGGGGAGCGAGCCATGACTAAGGACAACAATCTTCTTGGGAAATTCGAGTTGACTGACATCCCTGCACCATCAGGTGCAACCGAAATCGAGATAATTTTTTGCATTAATCCTGACGATGTGTTGGAAGTGTCTACCGTCGTCAAGAGTTCTGGCGAACCGAAGAAGTTGACCATCAGCCACAACAAGGAGCATCTTACCAAGGAAGAGATAGACGGAATGATCCATGATCTTGAGAGATACAAGGCTGATGAAGAGAGAGAGAGAGAATCTGTGTTATCCAAGAATGTGTTGGAATCTTACTGTTTTAACATGAAACGTGCAGTAGAAGAAAACCTCAAACATATACTAATGGTGTGTGATGACACCATCAGTTGGCTGGACGTCAACGACCACAGGCAGAAGGAAGACTACTATCAAAAGTACAGACAAACTCAGGAAGCTGTTGATACCGCCCTAATGAAGTTACTCTGAGAGGCTTATAATAATGCCCCTCCCCCTTCCTCCCCCCCTTGACTATCTAAATAAAACACCTACAGCTTTTAACTCACTTCTCAGTAGGTTATTTACATTTAACTTTAACTTTCAATATAATAAACTCGTTCTCCTTTCACGTGTTCAATAGAGTCCTTAGAATCTATCCACACTGGTCGTCGACATCTCGTATAGTGTGGAGTCAGCTGTCCTGCTCTCCACCTTGTCCAAAAGACCACACAACCAACACAAACAACTTCCTCCCTTGAATGTATCATAGTTGATGTTTAGTGTAATGGATTGACTTTGAATACACGTTTAAAAGACTTAGTTGTTGAAACATATAAACAACAAACCTTAATTGAAATGAGAATATAAAGATTATACACTGTTGGGTTTGTATAACTACAGTGTCTATGTACATTGTTTATATACCTGTATGATCTATGCACATTGTTTATATACCTGTATGATCTATGTACATTGTTTATATACCTGCATGATCTATGTACATTGTTTATATACCTGTATGATCTATGTACATTGTTTATATACCTGTATGATCTATGTACATTGTTTATATACCTGCATGATCTATGTACATTGTTTATATACCTGTATGATCTATGCACATTGTTTATATACCTGTATGATCTATGTACATTGTTTATATACCTGCATGATCTATGCACATTGTTTATATACCTGTATGATCTATGTACATTGTTTATATACCTGTATGATCTATGTACATTGTTTATATACCTGTATGATCTATGCACATTGTTTATATACCTGTATGATCTATGTACATTGTTTATATACCTGTATGATCTATGTACATTGTTTATATACCTGTATGATCTATGTACATTGTTTATATACCTACAGTGTCTATGCACAGTATATACTGTATATACAAGTTGAATCATTGCGAACTTGTATATTGATATTTTGGGAAATACCTTTATATCTACACAATATATCTATCTGTTCCCAGTGGGATATTAACCAATAAGTGTAGAAGATTCTGACAAATACAGCAACAATTGACCTTCATGATTTATTATTCCTGTGTTTAGTAGCGTTAAAGCGAACCATTTCCCAATGTCTGCCATGGTGCATACATAACTGATATAGGAAGTTCAGATGACAAAAATATCTTTTATCATATCATTCATTCTTCTTTTATATTTCTCTTAGAACAGAGATATTTTACTTTTATCCTCTTCGCCACTGATCGGCTCGTTAGCCGCTTGGGCGATCGGTCACGTCTCTGTTACGCACTGTTGGCAAGTACTGGGCATGTACCGGCTCCTGAATGTACCTAAACCAGTTCCAGTGTTGGTCAAGTCTGGTCTTGAAAGAGCTCACACTCGGTGCCGTCACAACACTCTCTGGTAGATTGTTCCAAGAGTTCACAACTCTCACTCCGAAAAAGTTTGCCCTCACAGTTTTCTGGACTTGCGGCTTCTTCAATCTTGAGCTGTGACCCCTTGTGGGGCGAGCGTCCGCCAGCTCCAGGTCAGGACACTCGACTGAGTAGTGCCCCTTGAGAAGTTGAGATGCTTATACACCTGTAAACTAAGGATAATAAAATCGGAAAATAAATTGGGATTCCCCCCTAAAAAAAAATAAACGTATATTTGAAATATAAGAGCATCATCTCAGTTAATATATTAGGCTCGTTGCTCACGTTTGGGTGACAGTTTTTGACTGTTTCCCCTGTCAACAAACATTCCAAACAAATGTCAGCTGGAGAAATAATGTTAAAATAATATTACGGCTTTAACAAACAAATAATTATTATTTCGTTACCAGGCTATTATAAACATCCAATATTTTTTATACTTAATAAATAATGTAAAAAAAATAATTATATATGATAAAAATATATTAAAACGGTTTGAATTAGCTTGAAAAACAAATAATGAGACGAACCGGTTCGTGGATATAAATAAACACTGTTGGTCTTGCTGAGAGCCCTAGCTGTAGTGTGGTGGTGGTGGTGGTATTGCTGTGGTTGATTGTGTGGTGGTAGTATTTAAGGGGAAGACTTGAGTTACTAGACTTGCTGTGGTGATCGTTATGGTACACAGGAAGTCAACCTATAGGCTTATGTTCAGGAACTACGGCGCTGAGGTGAGGCAGAAGGTGTGGCACGAGAACAACTCACTCAGGTAAGGATGAACAGGTAGATAGATGGATCGAGATAGACATTATATATATATGACTCAATATAGGTAACAGATAAGAGATATTTATTCAGTAAAATTGTCAAACAAGTTTAGTTTATCGTAAACATAGACAGTATAGGAACACAAACAACGTGCATAGACAGTGTTAATAGCCCAATGGTAGCCTCCCAAATAGTGACTATCCCAACAGATTTGCTTTAAGTTGTTTGTAGAGGAAGACTGGAAGAAATATAATACTGTAATGTTTTCTCCTCTACTGTAGATGATAAAAGGTCTGGCTACAATGATGAAATGTTATTTTTCAGAATGAGACGACGGGAAGAAGAAATGTCGCACCAATCGATCGAGGAAAGTGATTCAGATTGTGTGTGTGACGAAGAAGACGACGAGGAACCAGAGCCGCCTGTAAGAAAATATGGAATATCTAAACTAACAGGAACTAAACGAATATTAAACAGATCCGATGAGTAAGTGTTTTAATGTTCCGTCAGTCTCTATGTCGGTCTTTTCCATGCCATACAGAATGCCAGGTTAGGTGGTGCATTCCTCTACAGTGAAACCTCCATATAACGAACTTCTCTCTCCATATAATCCGTTAGATGGAGGTTTCACATCTAACGGACCCTTGATATAATGGACTTTCACCTCTATATAGTTTGTTAGATGGAGGCTTCACATCTAACGGACCCTTGATATAATGGACTTTCATCTCTATATAGTTTGTTAGATGGAGGTTTTACATCTAACAGACCCTTGATATAATGGACTTTCATCTCTATATAGTTTGTTAGATGGAGGCTTCACATCTAACGGACCCTTGATATAATGGACTTTCATCTCTATATAGTTTGTTAGATGGAGGCTTCACATCTAACGGACCCTCGATATAATGGACTTTCATCTCTATATAGTTTGTTAGATGGAGGTTTCACATCTAATGGACCCTTGATATAATGGACTTTCATCTCTATATAGTTTGTTAGATGGAGGTTTCACATCTGTATTACACTTTTCAACACATTTTATTATAGTCTCTCTTTATTTGTGGTGAATTTTAATGTGGAATTTCTGTATTATGTAAATATTTGGTAATTTGTTGTGGTGTATACCTGTGTACAGTCATGAAAAAAACTCCTGTTGCCTCTTCTGCTACTCAACGAACCCATTAGATTCACACTAATGAATCCGAAGCATTTATGACTGGAATAATGCATCAGCGTCCAACTCTTCGGGTTCATGGAGCAGCAGTAGAGGGGCTGAGTTGTGTAGGGCTATATAAGAAACTTCAGGACCTTTTTAGATAACCAGTTAAAGAGCCTTTTGTATTCCTTAATCCTTCAATATGGGACGCTACTTTTAATATCTTATTTGGTTAATGCCAGATAATTTTATTTCACTCAGAGGCAACCCTGCACCCAAGAGGATAATGGAACTTCAGGGCTATGTGATCAACTTTCATTAAACAGTGTTTTTCTCTCTCTCTCTCTCACAGACAGATGCGACCTCATCACTTGTCTTTCCAAGATGAGCAGCGGGACCACCACCCCAACCACCAGCCTCCTGTACCAAGACTTTACTTCTCCCCGGAACAATCGCCAAGGTGTCTGGATCTGTCACAACTGTCTGCTGATTGTTCTGTTGTCTGTGTTTATCTATATGTTGGTCTGTCTGTTTATCTGTCTTTGCAGTATATCCATCTGTCTGGTATAAATATTTATGTGTGTGTCTCTCTCTCTCTCATGATCTTTATCTATATGTGTATTTAATCTATGAGGATTTTTTAGTGTAGCTGTGTGTGACGAGGATGAAGTGACTGGAGTGGATATTTGAGAGAGAGGGCCAGGGGGGTAGATATATGGAGTGTGTGTGTTGGTAATTGAATTTAGAGAAGACTATTCATATGTTCCCTGCCTGAATTATGAAAGATAAGATAATGAAATGTGCAGTTCTCTGATGATTAAATACCCTACCTGAAAGTAGGTTAGATTAGCTTTAGATTAGGTTAAGTTGGGTGAGATATAAATCAACTTAGGTTAGATTAGGTCAAGTTAGGATAGATTTAAATTAGGTTAGGTTAGCATTAGGGTGTTTAAGCATTAAGTGAAATAAGCTGGGGTGCTAATCTTCATATGATCCCTTATACTATCGACGTTAGGAGACATCTCTTCATGTTAGTTACATTTACAGAGCGTCCCAGCAGCCGAGTACACCGAATGACACAGGGATCAGCATCATCGGGGACGGCACGAGTGAGAAATTCGACGACAGTAGAGGCAGCATGCCCAATCTGAACCTAACCAAAGACACTGGTGAGAGCACTAAGTCCGTGCCAGAACCCAGGAGCAAGTCTCAAATATCTGGCGACCAATTAGGGGTCATGAGGCCTGGGAGTCGGGTGAGAGAATACGACCTCATACCAGGTGATTGGTTTTTCCTGTCTTTTCTCTCATGCTTTCTGTTATGTACTTGGTGTATGACTGCGGACAGACTGTTACTAGAATCCACAAAAATATGAAATTAAGAAACCAACGGAAAGATCGTCATCCTTTAAATTAACAGTGTCTCGGTAAGTGGGATTTATTTATGTTCTCGTTATATTCACATATGATGCTTGGCGGTTAGGATCAAGAAAATACTGTACACACTCTCTTGCCTTCTCATTCATCATCATTTATCCTTTCTTACAATGGATGTGTTCGCCCAAGTTATAGTTTTGTTTAAGCATCCTATCCTGACACTTTCAGGTCATCCGATACTGTAGCAGTTAGCAAGTTGTTTCATGGTTTCTACTGCTGAAATATAAGTGGTACTCCCTCACCTTAGTTCTGGGAGTTACCGTACACACACACACAGACCAACATCTCTAATCTTCCCACATGTCTCTCCTGCTGGTGGGAAGTGAATCATATCTGGTAGACCATATTAAATGTACTATATGAGGGACTGTTTTCCTGCATTGGCCCTTCTCTTGATAGGTAGGTAGCTCGTTGTCTCTTGTTTATCAAAGATTCTTCCACGAACTCACTACTGTACAGTATATGATTTTAGTCTCATACAAGGCATTTTGTATGTTAATGGGCAATATGGTACTTTGTCCATGCTTGGTAGATCAGTTTTGTTTTATTATGAAGGTTTTTTGAGAACAGTGGTTCATGTATTGTATTAACTAAATTTAAAATCTCTCATTGTTTTTTAAGTATTAGTGGTTCATACATTTTATTAATTGATTCACTTGCTAGGAGTCCCCGAGTATCGCTCATGTATCCGTTATTTATGAAGTGAGTGAAGGGAATCCACACAAAGCCTCACATAACCTGTTATATGGTACTACAAGGCAACGAAGGTCATGCAAATGGAAATCTATTCAGATATAGCGGATAAAATGTACAGTTCTGCCGTAGCCAAACTCCATGGCCACCAGTGTGTGAATCATCCTGTCTTCTTTCATTGTATTGTTCTAAGATAATAACTCGCATTGTATCTCATATTATAATTGACGAGAGTTCAGTGCAGTAGTCTGTGGGGTTCACTGATCAAAGCTAAACTCACGATGTCGTATTTAAGCGGTGTCGGAGAACAGTAATGCGCCGGGAAGAGGAGCAACATTAGCCAAGTCTGGTCTGGCGAAAAGTCACCTCTATCCTCTCACCTCAAAGCTGTCTAGAACCACCAGGAGAAACTTCCACGAGCGAGACAAGATTAACTACGTGCCATATGGAACCGGTGCATCAGTGAGGACTCTCGGAGACAAGACCTCATTTAACATACACCTAAATAAAGACCGGGTAATTGAAGCTTACTTCTTATTTGACAGGTGTAAGAGTAATTTTATTATCTTCTTTACAGCCTTTCTCCACTAATTTGTTGACCAGGTTTGTGTTGATTCTTCACCACCTGTAACGGGAGCAGCAGCTTCTAGTGATGCAGGGGTAATGTGCTTGCCTCTCACTGTTGTGGTGCAGGTTCACTCCCCGGGTCAGATGTGAGAAGGATGTGTTATCCAGTGTGACCAATATATCATAGAATTACAGCAGACCATCACCATAACTTCCAAGTGCCGGGCAATTATATGTTTTTCGGTCAATATAAACGTAAAGTACAGTACATTACATCGTTAGTGTTTCTTCTCCATTTTTTCGAACTTTTCATTTTGCTCAAAGTTACATCCAACATACAGTAGCAATTATAGAACATAATGAATAAGGATCAATAAGGATCTTGGCTCTAAACTTGTAAATCTTAATTAGACTTCTCTAACAAATCTATAAATTACTTTTGTACAGCATTCCAAGATAAATAACAGTTTTTACCCAACCACCAGAGACAAACATAAGGAGTAGAATTATAGAATGTGTGTGTGTGTGTGTGATCACTCGTACTCACACAATATATACTGCCACTTCAGGTCCGGCCAACATCCCTGACGGCGTCATCTCTACGAAACAGAGAAATAGAACGGCTGATCAGGAAGCAGAAACAGATGACGTTGGATGACTGGAGGGACAAAGGCCAAATGGGCCAGCCCGTCAACCACTCAAGCCTCTGGGCGACTGACACTGACAACAAAATTTTCTCCTCTAAGGCAAGACGGAGAGAGAGAGTGGCGAGCGCACCGAGTAGAGTCGAAGTTTTTTCAAATTACTGTAAACATTGTGGGGGGAAGAAATAACTTTATACATCGGTCAATACGTATCTTTTCTGTGGCCTGAGAGATCGTAGAGCCTTTTACGTTTAGTAGCTTCATGATTGTGATCCTTTACTGATGAAGTGGGCCACATTTCCAATAGATTAGTTTAGACCAGGTTAAGCTAGGTAAGCTATTTTAGTCAGTTATTAATAAAAATGGAAACATGACCAATTGAGGTTTTCCTGTGTAATTTGAAAATTTACAAGAGTTATATTATGTTCATATTTAAAATTATTTAACTGGAATATTTTATGTCCATATTTTTATCATAGCCAGGAGGATGATGATGTAGTTGTTGACCTTTGTGACGGTAAATGACCACCAAATTGGGTCAAACTTTTACAACCTAGTGATAGGGAGTAAATCTGGACTTGTAAACAATGCTTTCTCAAGTTGGTGACTATCAGCTGGTAAGGTTTAAGTCAGGGTAAATACTGTACTGTACTTCTCAGTGGAACTATAATGTACAGTACCAGTTCAGGTAACTAGTAGGTATAAAAGTGGATTTTAATTTATATTATACTGAGCCTTTGTTTAAATGACAGCTATTCCACTTATCCATTGTTATATCTACAAGGTGGCTGTGTGTGATGGACAGTCTGCTCCTGGTGAGGTGTTCGTTGTGGTATAGTGCACGAAGATGTGATTGTTTTAGAATGTCTGATTATTATTGATCAGTGTATAGAATTTCTTAGAATTATTTTTATAATGACTTTTTAACTAGATTTTTTATTTTATTTATTAAGACCAGAGGCAACTTGTGAAGGAAGACCGTGTTATGGTCTTCAGTGTATTTTGTATGGTGATATATTTAATATATACTCTGGTAACAGGTTTTATCTCAGAAACTGACAGGACCTATCGGTAGTAATTTACTGTGATGTTCTCGAAGCCGAACTCTGGTTATATTGACGACTAGGTGATCACTTCCTCACCCCCCCCCACTTGAATACACCACCCTGCACCTCCTCCTCCTCCTCCACCTCGACCTTCCTCCTTCTCAATCTCCACCTCTACCCTCCTCCTTCACCACCACCACCTTGGCCCTCCTTCACCTAACCTAACCTCCCCAAAGATGTGATCTCCTTTCTCACCTTAACATCTCCCTCTTTTATGCTTCAGTCTCCCAGAATTGTCTAATGCTACTAAAATTTTGTTTGTGTGGCTGTCTGACAAAGAGTTATGGTGTAATGTCAAAACTAATCACTGCCATTTAAAGATGTCAAAATAGATACACAGTTAGACGTTCATCCATCATCATATTATAAGTCTAAAATGATGTATGGTAGTGAAACATACGATGACTTAACTCCCTGATTACTGTTGTCACACTCAAGGAAGTAAGCAATATACTGAAGAGGTTAAGTCATTACAGTATATTCAAAGGTAATCACTTGGAATAGAGTAGAAGGGATTTTGAAATACTAATAAACCTCCTATGATTATTTTGATATTTTATGATTCTGAAGAAGACTCCCCCTTTCGTTGACATGTTTTACCTTTATACAGTACAGGTGACCATTAATTATCTTACCTATTATGAATATCAATAAACTCAAAAATATTATAGATATTTCATAATGGTTTTATTATACTTGAATAACTCATAAGTTTCTTCTTCTTGTCTTAGCAGATGCCAACATATAAACCATGGTCAATCCATGATATTTTTGAGGTTATTAACTCTTTCCCTACGGGGAAGTCACTTTTAATATTTTACTTAACTAACACCAGATGATTTTATTCAGCACAGACCCCCCCCCCCACCTCAAGTACACAAGGGGTTAGTAACAGGCACACACATTCATTCAAAAGGACAGTGTTTTATTTATGCACACTTTCACTTTAACCCTTTGAGGCCAGGGGGGTTTAACCATTATCCTCAAAGGGTTAAACCATCATCGTAAAGGGTATAATTTCCTTGTGCAGATAATCTTTCAGGTACAGTCCTCAGTTTAAGTGATATTGCCTATGCATAAACTTAATGTAATTTGATGGTGGGATATTGTGTGTGGTTCCTGGAGGGTGATGCTAGTCGGGTGTATCTTGTTGTGAGTGGAGGAAAGTTGTTTATTGGTGTATGTATGATAAGGTTCCCGGACAGTGCCATAACTCTTGTATTTAATGTATACAGTGAAGCTTCTATTTAACATACTATATGAAGAGGAAAGTCCGTTATATCGAGGGTCCGTTAGATGTGAGACCTCCCTCTAACGGATTGTATGGAGATAGAAGTCCGTTATATTTGAGGTTTGTAAGGGTACTGTATTTGCTGGCTGTTGCTGTCCTCTGACTATTGTAATGTCCTCACCTAGAATTACTGTCAACACAGCCACTGTACTTAAACTCCTTTTTCACTTTTAGCTGCTGTGCCCTTTTCATTAATTCCCACACCTGAGTCCGTCCCATATCCGTGTTCTGTCTCTCCCAGTATCGTCAAGAGGCAGCACCCATGACTATTGTATCCGATGCGTCAATCACTACGACACAAAATGCACAAATATGAAAAAAAATAAACAAAACCACAGGATCATCTCACCTGCTTAGATGACGTACAGAATTAATTGCTAAGCATTAACGCCGATGTACAGTTGCGGACAAAATTCACCGAACGTTTGGCAATATCTGGCATCCACTTCTGGGTTATTTATATGATTGGTTTATATCTTATAGCGCTACTTTTTGTCTCATATTATGTCGGAACCACAAAAAAAACTCCTTTAAACACAAAGAAAAATATGAGAAAATACCTCAAGATTCCAATCCCCTTCACTTAATGTTCCTCAAGTACCTACATGCTAGATACTACCAAGTGTCCAGGTAATTTTGATCACAACTTTACCTTATAACTTCAGAGTACCATAATGGACCGTAATATTCTGCTCAATACACGCTATGCTTACTACGACTAAGGCTGTGATGTAGTCAGCTCCTACAGGGTGACAAAGTATCAAATGTTGTATGATTGTCAGGTGTTAGTTGGTGCGGTGAAGCAGAAGTTACAGCAACGACGGCCGAGCTCTGTGATGTGAGAGGAGTTTGTTGGTCTAGATGGTTAACTATAGAGTATTAGTGATTTTTGAGAGTTTTATGTTTTGAGGTGTCAAGTACTGTGTGTGAATCATCAAAAGGTGTCAAGTACTGTGTGTGAATCCTCAAAAGGTGACAAGTACTGTGTGTGAATCATCAAAAGGTGTCAAGTACTGTGTGTGAATCCTCAAAAGGTGACAAGTACTGTGTGTGAATCATCAAAAGGTGTCAAGTACTGTGTGTGAATCATCAAAAGGTGTCAAGTACTGTGTGTGTGAATCATCAAAAAAAGGTGTCAAGTACTGTGTGTGAATCCTCAAAAGGTGACAAGTACTGTGTGTGAATCCTCAAAAGGTGTCAAGTACTGTGTGTGAACTACAGTACTTACAGGTGTCAGTATATCAGGTGTAAGCTGCAGGTAGGGGATACAGTAATTTCTTAACCCCTTCACTATGGGAATGCCACTTTTAATATTTTATTTGGCTAACGTCAGATGATTTTTATTCAGCACAGAGAGGACCCTATACAGAGTAGAAAAATATTCATACAAGGATGAGGATATTTTGTCCTTACCAAATACAAAGCTGTAATAATCTGTATGTACGCACTTGATCTCACTAATAAATGTATTTCTGAAATTTTTTGTTTCTTTTCTTATTTATCTTCGAGTAGTTTGGAAAAGAAATTTGTATGTATTGGATTTTAGTTTACGTATATGAAGTTTTACCCCTCCCCTCCCCTCTCTCCCCACACACACACACACACACATACAGTGGTAACTCTCGTATCTCTCACAACTACGTCAAGGGTTCGAGCCTCGGCCCCGGACACACGTGAGAAGGGTGTTATCTAGTGTGACTCTCACTACCAAACAGTGCAGGTTTCCCAGACTCCAGTTTCCTCCAATACTAACACTCGATAAACCAACCGCTCGAATGGATAGTAAGCTGATAAATGGTGAAAAAAAAAAGGCATCCTAACCCTAACCTAACCCAACTCCACCTAGTAGGATTAATTTGTTTCATTATCAGACTAAATAAACTTGAGGGGGGGGGGAACCTTAATATGATCCCTCTTATTTTTATTTGCAGATTGTAGGCAAAACTTTTCATGTGAAATACTACATGTATTTTGAAGCTTCAGTAGCATGACACTTGAAGCTACACTCCAGAGATGTGTGTACAGTACAGTGCAGTATTTATATAATGTACAGTAATTGTTTTTATCAAATTGGGTATAGTTAATCAGTTATCAAACTTTTTCTTTCCACACACACATTGTACAGAACTGTTTAATTAAATGCTGTCTTTGCACTTTCCTCAAGTGCCTCAAACGAGAAAGACTGAAAATTTATTTTTGCGTTTATTACCGGTATCCGTATTATTATTATAATTATTTATTTATTTAATTTATTATTTTCTCTACATCAGTTTACTAGTCATTGGTCAGTTCATTGTTGTGACCTTCATTGTCTAGTGGTAGTACAGGAGGAAACTTGAGTACAGTACCCAGAGAAAACCTGCCATGTCTGGTGGGGGATCTGAGCCCTGGTCACCTTACTAACCTGTTGGATGATCGGTGTGTTCTCTTTTATGCATATTTGGCAAACACCGAGAATCTACAGGCTGCACTGAGCAACTATGGGCTCCAATGGGCATCTACAGGCTCCACTGGGTATCTACTGAGCATCTACAGGTTTCACTGGGTATCTACTGAACATCTACAGGCTCCACTGGGTATCTTCTGAGCATCTACAGGTTTCACTGGGTATCTACTGAACATCTACAGGCTCCACTGGGTATCTACTGAGCATCTTCAGGCTTCACTGGGTATCTACTGAACATCTACAGGCTCCACTGGGTATCTACTGAGCATCTATAGGTTCCACTGGGCATCTCCACAGGGTATCTACTGAGCAACTACAGGCTCCACTGGGTATCTACTGAGCAACTATAGGCTCCACCGGGTATCTACTGGGCATCTACAGGCTCCACCGGTTATATAAGGTACATGCACTTGTCTACATACATTCATTACTGCAGTATTAATTTATCATAATACAGTAATAGTAAAACAAAATACTTCCTCAAATTTTAGTTTATTTTACAAAACTACATTCATGACTCACGCATCACACACTGCTGAACAACATAATGCAATTAGGATGCGCTCTGCACACCCAGATCCACCCTACCCTGTCTCTGGTCTGCCTCTCTCATGGTCTGGTCAATCTGTGGCAGGAATTTTGAACCTACAAAGGGAAGTTAAAAACACTGGCGGGAAAATTAAGACCACTAGAAAGAAATTTAAATGATTGGTAGGAAATTAAAATTATTTGAAGGGAACTAAAATCAGTAGTGATGTTTTAAAACCTTTGATGGGAAATTAGAATCAGGGGTACAAAATTAAAACCATTCGTGAGAACTCAAAGTGCCGGCAAGAAATTTTGAGCTACTGGCAAGGAATTTTGAGCTACTGATGGAAAATTTTGAACTACTGGCAGGGAATTTTGAGCTACTGATGGGAAATTTTGAACTACTGGCAGGGAATTTTGAGCTACTGATGGGAAAATTTGAGCTAATAGCAGGGGAATGTTTTTGGGGTACACTGGCAGGGAAATTCAAACCAACGGGGAATATATTATAGGCTTACAGCAGGAAAATTAGAAGGACTAACAATACTATCTACAGGTTGTGACGATGAGATCTATGCCTTGGGTAAAGCCCCATATATCTGCTCTCCTAGGCTTGTGTGCAGCTCAGACAAGACGCATCAGAGAGGTGAGACGGGGGAAGGCGGAGCTTATTGAACTGTAAATTACTACGGTTACAGGAGACTAAATAATCAATCCACATAATGTTCATCCGCCTACATCAATCATCACAGACATGACCGTTGGTATCACCGAATCAAATTAAAGGTAAATATGCCATACATATAAACAAAATAGGAGATGAAATAAAGTTACGGTACAAGAGCTAGACTACAGTACTCTCGTTTTTTATTATTATCGCTCAAATTATTATCATTAATCCAACTAGAAAGCGGGATTGTTAGGGATTTGTCCGCCAAAAAGCAATAAGAGTGATCACGAGTCTTAACGTTAGCCATGGCTCCACATTCTCAGAGGTCTGTGTGTTAGTTTTTCCTTGTTACTTCTGACCGGGAGAATCTATCAAGTTATGGTAGTCTTGATGCATTTTCAATGTCATTTTCAGAACCAGTTTTGTCTCAACTTACATGAGCTGGGTAGATACATTCTCACAGTCACAATTAAGGGAAAATGTACTGTATTAATCTGTAAGAATTTGGAACCAGGATTGTTAGAGATTGTTGACCGAGAAGCGACAGGTGATCGTGGGTTTTGGCATCCTGACCAGGCAGTGTTGTCACTGTTTGCTGTGGTCATCATTGTTTGCATTCAACATTTACCTCTGATCGACACATGAAAAGTAATAATATGTAAATATATATACTGTGCAAGATACATTGGACACTGATGTAGTTTCTAAGGACTACGTATTGGGTGGCTCTGTACACGTGGAAGTGTGGTGGCGGCGCGCAGAGTCCAGCTCTAGCAGCGTCGGGATCCCTGCTGCCCTGCAGAGGAATCCCGCGGCGGCTTCCTGCGGCGCCCACAGCCAGCGAGGCGCCGCTCGCCGCCTCCTTCGGGAAGAAGAAAGCCACCGGTTCTTCAGTCTTTCCTTCCGTCAGTCTTTAGACGTTAGGTGTTTTCCTTCTTCAGGGAGCGTCACGGGAGGTCCGCGGTGCTTCAGGGATCCATGGGAGGAGAGACTCCAGGGGCGTTTGGCACTACTGCCGGGGAGCTACGTTATGTACAGGCATCATGCAGGCACTCGGTAACCCAAGAGGACAAACACGATGGAAGTAAGTTACGGGGTTGTGGCCTCAGACACACCAAAGAAGCCGTGACGCGTTGAGGTGATCCACACACACACACACACAGGGGACCGAGTTAACCCTTCAAGGGACTCTTAAAACAGAGATCTCTGAGACTCACACAGACCTCCTGACTCTAGGAGGTCTCCATGAGTCCACTGGGGTCCTTCAACCTGGGTTACAGGCAGCACAGGTCAGGTCGTCGGGTCATCACAGGCGAGATAGAGGGAGAACGTGGGAGTCTAGAACTTAGGGGGGTCGGTGACATAAGTGAGCTCGTTAAGGTAGAACCTGAGGGATAAACACCAAGATTGAGATGACAAAAGAACTTACAGGTAAAAGGAATCGTGTCTATATTGTTTAATTATCATATCTATACACAGTATATTCATACCTGAAATGTAAATAACAATAAATGTCATTCAGAAGCTCATAAAAATTAGAAAATAAATTAGATCAGTACAGTGATGTACAATAATTTCTGAAACAAGATATCGACCAAAAGTCTTTATATTCTTACTTATAAACATGAATTATTGTACCCTATGGTCATCTTTGTTCCTGCTTCAGTATTTAAACCCCTCCCAATCGACCTCAACCATTCAACTGGGACTCACCATTCCTGGGCCTCGGAGCAGTCGAAGTTGTACTTCCAGTCACAGATACGGTACTCTTGGTTGAAAGCGGTGTCGTTGGCACACATGTAGGGAATGCGTCGGCCATCCTCATCACACATGTGGAAGAGCTGGCACTCAAACTCCTGGTCAGCGTAGAAGCCCACGGGCCGGTCCGTACAGTCAAACGTGAAGGTCACATTGGGGAATTCCTCCCATCGCTTCGACTGGTGGTGGAAGAGAAAATTTATGATGGGAGAGAAGGAAAGATGTGAGATGATTAATCATTACTGTACTGTAGTTGTTTGTAATTGTGATGATGAATACTGTACAGTCATGATGATAATACATAATAATGATGAAGATGATAATAAGAGTAATACTGTAGTTTGTGTGCTCAGGTTGTCAGGACTGTCACTGGTTTATTGATGTCAGTGTCCAGGTGAGGCGTTTAAATATCTCTTCCTGAGGTTTATTTTGTTAAGGGTTTAAACATGCAGAAGTTTATAACATTTACAATAACAAAGTTTTATCAGAGCATCAACATCAATGAAGCGATGATGTATTTTATTGGCAGTTTATGTGTTGCAGACATCAATGTTTATAAGCAACAGAGATAAAACATTATGGGTCGTTTCATTGGTGGTTTATATGTTACAGGGAGTTTTAATAAGTGATTTATATACTATAGATTATAATGTTTATATTAACCTTCCACATACAGGTAAATTATGTAATGTTTAAAATGGAGAACAGTGACAAATTTCTTAAAGAGAGAAGAAAGATAATCACAGTACAGTACAATACCATAAACTCCCATAACAACATAAATGGTGATGTATATTTTGAGTCTAAACATAAACAGATAATAAATAACTCTTTGTTCTGCTAAAGTGATTGTGTTTAATATTAGATGGTTGTAATGCCTGAAATAATAAGGGGTTAGAAGAGTAGGGGGAGAGGGAGGGGGTAAGTGGGAGAGGGAGGGGTAGGTGGGAGAGGGAGGGAGGGAGGTGGTAGGTGGGAGAGAGAGGGAGGGAGGGGGTAGGTGGGAGAGAGAGGGAGGGAGGGGGTATTTCTAGTAAATGCCAGTGACTTCTTATCCATGTTGTCTTATAAGATGGAACAGAAGGCTGACTGCCCCCTTATGGTGTGTATGATAAAGACAGGTGGTAGATGTACTGCATGGTCATGGGGAAGATTAACTAGGTACTTCAGGTGTTCAAGAGGTGACATGATACTGTTTATGGAGTGTGTGTGTGTGAGTCAACCCATAAAACACTCTCTCCAGAGGTTATCATATCGCCATGTACAGTTGCAGCCAAGAGTTCGCTCCCCCGCGGTGAAACTGAGACGGGAATGAGTCTCTGAATTTATTTATTTATCCTGACTTTTATCTGGTGAGGGAGGGGGGGGGGTGCTCGTGTGGGGATAGATACTGGTTCATATCGGGAGGGAGCAAACTTTTGACCCTGACTGTACATACAACACACAGATGCACACACTCTCTATGAACCTGCTAAGTGACCTCTGAACAGATTAGGGTAATTCACACTGTTATTTTTATCAGCTGATAATAAGACAGACTATAACAGATTACCGGAAACAGGGATTAAGATTGAGGTTAAACGAGACTAAGACTGAGATAAACAGAAGGACTTAAGACCGCGGCAAACAGAAGTAACGGAGACTCACTCGATGCAGGGAAGGCAGAGAGTAGACCAAAGTCACGGCTGTTGGGGAGAGAGAGAAAATAAAAACATTATTAACACCTTTACACCTTATCATATACTGTATAATGTATCTTACCTTAATAAATGTGCATTTTTTTTACATATACAGTACATTTAAACCTAGACACCATACCATATATCCACTATCAAAAAAGAATACCTTAATTTTTATTGTATATTTTAAAAACTCGGCATTCTTTTGTTTTGATAATCGTGTATATATGTACATTATTTATTACGTATATTATACAGAAAGGAATTATAGGTATTTTGAGGGGTTTAATCATTGTAAGGTATAGTTTACAAAGCAATTATTATTATTTTTATATATGGTATATGATAGTTTTTTTTTAAGCTGTTGTGAATTCCATGCAAGTGATAATAGTCATTAGAGTCATTATTTCTGTCCTGGCTGTCTCGATCCTTTGTTGAAAAAAACAGAAAAAAAAAACAGTCGATCTAAGTATATTGAGACGCCTTTGTTGTGTTTGTGTTATGTCTGTCTCTTAAGGTCGTTCCGTTCCGTCCCCGTTCCGTCCATTCCGTCCGTTTCGTTCCACATTGCGTGTGTTCCGTCCAATTTTGGTGCAACGGTCTGCGTGAGGTTGGTCGGTCAGGTTCAGCTTGTAGTGTGTGTACCTGTGGGGAGAATATTGTGTATGTAGTGTTAGAGTTTATGATAAAAAAAAAAAACACATACATATGTACGGTTGGCCACAGTTCTACCTGTTACGGTGACTGACGAATTTTGTGAGATGTGGCAGCTGTGTGTTTGTTTACATTGCAGTAAAACTCTAGGAATGGCCCAAAGGATTCAAAGGAACTTCACAATAGTAGTCAGACTATGGGTGGTAAATAAGGACTTCACCTCTATCTTAGGTTAGGAGGAGGATGTTAGTGGCATAATTCTCTGCCAATCAAGGAAGGACAGAGGAAGATGGATACCTAATGCCAGTACTATATTGAGTTTCACATCCTTTCATCACCTTGTCAATTCCCTGTCAACACCCTGTTATCTCCCTGTCATCACCCTGTTATCTCTCTGACAACACTCAACACCCTGTTATCTCTCTGACAACACTCAACTCTGTCAACACCCTGTTATCTCCCTGTCATCACCCTGTTATCTCTCTGACAACACTCAACACCCTGTTATCTCCCTGACAACACTCAACACCCTGTTATCTCCCTGTCATCACCCTACCAGCCAACTCAACACATTAAAGGAATTTCACCTGAAAATATCAAATAAAACTACAAAATAGAGTCACAAGGAAATCACATTTACGTATTGAAAGGTCCCTCAAATGTCATCAGGATTAAAGCTGGTCATCTGGGGGTTAGTGACCATTAACCTAGCATCTTATATACCTGTTTGTTGAAAGGTGAGCTGAGGTTAATTACAAGGTGGTGTGGGGTGGTCGAGGTAGGTGACTGTTGTTATTATTTTAGTTGTTATTGTTGTGATGTTTTATTGGTTATTATGGTGTGGATTAAAACAACAACAACGCCTATTACTACAACAGCAATAACTACCAGTACTATAATTACAACAACTACTACTACTACTTTACTACTGTCACTAATACACACCCTAAGGCAGACAGAAAGACAGACAGACTTACCGAGAGAGACGACGGAGATTACTGCTAGTTGTCGAAGCATCCTGAAGGTGTTGTTGTTGTTTTTGTTGTTGTTGTTGTCACTGCTGCAGCGCCTGGAGGAGGAGAAGGAGGAGGGAGATGGTTAGTGGAGGAGATGTGTCCTGCTGAGAGAGAGAGAGAGAGAGAGAGAGAGAGAGAGAGATTGTTACACGTTACCTCTCTCTCTCTCTCCATAAAAAAATATATACTTTTTGTTGACACCTGACAGACGTCCTTGATCGGTTCCTTCAAGAGGCAAGATAGTACTTAACGTCTGTCTCTGTGTGTTAAGGTCGTATATCCCTCTGTACGACCCTAGACTCTGAAATTTATGGACATGAGGTATTTGTCGAGCTCTCTCTATCTCTCTTGTTTGAGGTGATGCCAAGTCAATGTTTGTAGTGAGGAGAGGAGGAGAAAGGAGAATATAAAAGACAAAAATAGTAAAACATAGATAAGAAAGATAAAGATAATATTTATAACAATAAATAAAGAAAACAGAATAACCAAAAGAAACACGCAATAATGTAAACAAAGGAAGAGAAGGGGGATGTGAGGAATAAACAAGAAACAAAATATATAATAGAAACCTCTCTGACGGAAGGAATTCTACGTCAGTCCACCTCAATAAATAAAGAAAATGGTCTCAACTTTTTGTTTTCTTCTTTACGTTATTACAGGGGAGACACTTTTATTATTGGACCAGCCACATTACCAGAGAGAGAGATGGTCAGCCAGCCAGTACTTCACACGAGGATGAAAGTAAGTAGGGCCCAGCCAGGCACCTTTAGGGATTGTAAAAGGTGAGCGCATGGCCTTCAACCATACACACACACACACACACACACACACACACATATCTTAAGACTGTTAGGAGCCTTAAACTACAATAAACTACGGATCCTACAGTCTTAAGATTCCCGTAGAAGGAGTCTATTGAGATCCTACAAACCTCTACGACCATGAGTGAGTCTCCTCCTGTCGTCTTAAGCTCCTGTGGAAGGGACAGGTGGTGAGGGATGTGGGAGGGGATAGAAGGAGGGGGGTGGAAGGGAGAGTCTTTTGAGGTTCTTAACGAGTCTCTCTCCTGAACTGAAAGAGACCTTGGAGACTCATGGGGAGACAGGATGGAAGAGGTCGACCCACTGGTTACCGAGAGAGAGACTTTCCTGCGACCTCAATCTGGAGGGCACGAGTGGCCTCTACCGTACCTACCAGACGAGAGGGAAAGGGAGAGGGAGGGAGGGAGGATGATAGACATGGAGGGAGAGGGAGGGAGGGAGGTTGATAGACATGGAGGGAGAGGGAGGGAGGGAGGTTGATAGACATGGAGGGAGAGGGAGGGAGGAGGTTGATAGACATGGAGGGAGAGGGGAGGAGGAGGTTGATAGACATGGAGGGAGAGGGAGGGAGGAGAAGAGAAGGAGTGAGGGAAAGCAGGAAAGAGACAGACAAACAAACTGATGTTGGAACACAGCAAGATACATAAAGATGCCCAGAAGAACAAAAACACAAACTACGACACTACAAACAAATAAAACTATGCAAACAAACAAACAATAATGTACAGTACGAACAATTGGATAAACAAATAATAAATTAAACCGATGATTAAAACAAACAATAAGCAGATAATTAAAGTAAATGAATAATAATTATATCAAACGAGAAAAAGAACATGACAAGAAAATACTAATTATTTTTTTTATGATACATTTTGAACATTTGTATCCCTGCATAACCTAACCTAACCCAACCCAGCATAACCTAACCCAACCCAGCATAACCTAACCTAACCATAACTTACTCTAACTCAACCAAAGTGCATAACCTAAAACCCTTGTAACCCATAACCTTAACCCAACCCAGCATAACCTAATCTATAACCTGTGATAAAAACCCTTGAAATTTACCATTCATTGTTGAGTGAATTCGTAAAAGGTGTGAATAAATAGTCGTGTAGAATGTAGGAGAATCATGTGTACTGTTAACTAGAGTGAACACGTTAGGGGGGGGAGGAGGGGTGGGGGGAGGGAGGGAGGTAAGGAAACAAAAACCAAGTGAAAGTTTGTCTGGTGGAGATGAGGTGATGCTTCTTACCTCCTTCTTCTTCTACCTCTTCTCTCATCAATCCCTCCTCCTCCTCCTCCTCACTCACACACTCACCCTCCTCCTCCTCCTCCCTCACACACTCACCCCTCCTCCTCCTCCTCCTCCTGCCCTTCCCATCTGCTAGCTTACTTGTACAGGTATCTCGTTCGGCCCCGAGTAATGCACAGGTAACCCCACCCCATCCCCTCCCCTCCCCCCCTTGGTCTCCTCATGCGTTGACCTGTTAAATTTAATCCAATAAAAAAAATGAAGAAGAAGAAAAGGAAACATCAAACGCAAGAACCTTTTAAACAGGGAGAACAGGTGAACTAGTGACAGCAGACATACCTGTTTTAACCCCGGATTACGTAAAGGTGGTTACGACCAACTTATACAGTCAGGTTTAATAATTTATTGAACGAGAAGAACTTTATACTAAATTGGCAGGTGTGAGGATTATTGTATTTATTTATTTATTTACTTATTTAGGGGTGATAATTATTGGACACTATCTTAAATCACCTAAACGCCAGTATAGGTAAACAGCTTCGTCTGGCGTTGTTTCCTCATTGATTGTCAATAATGTGTGTAGGGAAATTACGCTTGATGGGAAACTTTCACTCATTTTCTTTTTTTTGCACTGTAGTAATGATGTAGTTATGTATATCTCTATGTGTATAATGTATATGTCTAATGTGTATGTATAGTCATCGTGATGTTTGTTTACTGATAGAGAGCAGAGTTGTGTGTAGAGAGAAGAGTTTATTATGGCTGCCACATTCCGGAGTTCCTAAAGGTGAGAGTCCTGTGACCTTTGTGTGGTGGCCCGCGACACACACACACACATACATACATACACACACATACATACATACATACATACATACATACATACATACATACATATATATATATACATACATACATACATACACACACACATAGAGATAGACGGCGACACCTTAGCATGGAGGAGGTGTAGCGGCTGCCGGGTTAGTGGACTGGTAAGAGTAACAGAGCCATGAATAAGGTCCATTACGATTAGTAGTAGTGGTGGTAGTGGTGATAGTGGTGGTGGTGGTGATAGTGGTAGTGGTGGTAGTGGTGATAGTAGTGGTGATGGAAGTGGTGGTGGTGGTAGTGGTGGTAGTAGTGTTAGTGGTGATAGTGGTAGTGGTTGTGGTAGTAGTGGTGTGGTGATAGTGGAAGTGGTGGTGGTAGTAGTGGTGGTGCTAGTGGCAGTGGTAGGTGGGGAGTGAGAATGGTGGTAGTAGCGGGCCTATTGGTCCATACTGGGAAGTGGTAGTACAGTAGTAGGAGAGAGCCACTTTCCCTAGCACACCCCCCACACACACACACATACACCCCCACACACACATACACCCCCTCCCCCACACACAATCTCTCCACCCCATACACACATACACCCTCCCCACACGCACACATACGCCCCTCCCCACACACATACACCCCCCACACAAGCAACACCCCCGTCCCCCACACACATACACCCCCTCCCCACACACACATACACCCCTCCCCCATACACAATATCTCCCCCCATACACACAACACAATCATCTGAAGGAAGAATCAGAGAAGCGTATAGGAGGAAAAAGGCCGAATCACACACTAATAACATCAACAGTCATCACAGCATCAATAGTCATCACAGCATCAATAGTCATCACAGCATCAATAGTCATCACAGCATCAACAGTCATCACAGCATCAATAGTCATCACAGCATCAACAGTCATCACAGCATCAATAGTCATCACAGCATCAATAGTCATCACAGCATCACTCACCACAAACACCTCCAATCAACCAACAGAGGCACAAAACAACAACCAATCAAAAATAAGACAGTCATAGAACAGCAGACAGCAGCAGCCAGGAACAGCAGACAACCCCTCCCCCTCCCCCACCAGACCTCTAAAGGACTCGCAGAATCACGGGAGCGAGTCGGGTGTGTGGTGGAAACTTGGGTGACGCCCTCCTGCCTCCCTGGTCAGAACACAGGGCACAACGACGACTGACAGCTGACAACTGATGACTTGACGCCCTTCTAGGTGGTGGTGGTGGTGGTGGTGGTAGGTGGGTGATAGTGGTAGGTGGATGATAGTGAGTGGTAGGTGATAGTGGTTGGTGGTGGTGGTGGTAAGGTGTACCAGTCAGACTTTCACTTCGGCTGAGGCATACCAAATGACTGCTGCCCCCGCCCCGTGCATGGCCACTCTGCCGCCCCGTGCATGGCCACCCTGTCGCCCCGTGCATGGCCACTCTGCCGCCCCGTGCATGGCCACCCTGTCGCCCCGTGCATGGCCACTCTGCGCCCGTGCATGGCTGCACCCTGTCGCCCCGTGCATGGCCACTCCCGTCCCCGTGCATGGCCACCCTGTCGCCCCGTGCATGGCCACCCTGTCGCCCCGTGCATGGCCACCCGTGCATGGCCCAATCCCCCTCAACACTGGATCCAATTTTCCCACCTAACGAAATATTGTTTATTTACCCTTAAAAATTATCGTAATTATCTCAACTATTCCCTAATATTAGGCCTCAATGATCGATACCCCAAGACCATTAACCCCAAATAATTGCCAAATTAACATGAGATTAAATAGATTTCGTAATTAGATGGAAAACGAGAAACAAAGGAAAGAATTAATTAGGTAAAAGTATGCAAGAAAAATATAACTAGTGAATGGATAAATAAATATACAAATGAATGAATAAATTTGTATAAAGAAAATATGATAACTGAATAGAAAATGAAATAAATTAGATACAGGCCTAAACACATTATAGATTTATATAGTTACTCATATATATATATGAGTAACTATATAAATCTATAATTCAATAATATATATAATCATACATATAGTAAAGGAATATATATCATCGATAATTAAATATAATAGAGAATTACATATAACTAGAAATTATATACAGTATACTTAGAAACTCTAGATAATTAATTAATATAATAATCTGTAAGGTGGTGAATTAATGGCCTTAATTCACTAGACTGTGTCCAACCCACTTACGGAGGTCAGGTCAGTTGGTTTCGTGTGGTCAGGTCACTCGCAAAGGTTTGGTCAGGGGCCATGTGTTTTATAAGGCCAGGTCATTAGGTCAGGTCCCTAGTTACGATTTGGGAACTTTAGCCAGGTCAGGTGGTCAGGTGATAAAGTCAAAGTTTAGGGAGTTGGGCATTAAGTAGGTCAGGTCAATTTAAGTTAATCTAATGGCCAGGTCAGATCAGGTTATTTAATTTAAGGGAAGGTATTTGGTTAGTTTTGGTCAGGTTAAGTTAGGTCAGGTCAGGTCAGGTCAGGTGATTTGAATAGTCATCCCAGGTGTACTAACGGTCGTAATATTACCCTGCCGAGGTGAAGCCAGTTCATTCCAGTGGTCATGCCGGGTGTGCTAAGGGTCAAGTCAGGTCAGACCAAGTCGTGCTCGCCACCAAGCCAGTTACGACCGCACACACACACACACACACACACACCTGACGTCACCTGACCCAAACATATAAAAAAAAAACTTGTCTAATTCAGTGTGAGAAGTTGTGTGTGTTGTTTTTCTTCTCTCCTCCTCCTCCTCCTCCTCCTCTTCTTCCTCCTCTTCTTCCTCCTCTTCTTCCTCCTCCTCTTCCTCCTCTTCAACGCGTTAGTTAATTTTGCAATACTTGTTGTTGCTTTGTTCAACCTGCTCCACCTTCTCTCCCTGACCGTGTGTGTGTGTGTGTGTGTGTGTCTGTCTGTGTGGTGTGTGTGTGTGTGTGTGGTGTGTGTGTGTGTGGTAATATGAAAAACACACACACACACACACACCAGCCAGGTAGCCTTGATCACTCTTGCACCTTACCTGTGTGTTGACCTGTGCTGGGATATACCTGGAGGCACACCTGTTGAAGGAGCCTTTAATTACCTGCCACTTATAGTCTTATTTATAGGCAAGATGGTGCCCGTCCGTACGAGTGTTTAGTGCTTGTTGGGGAGCTTAGCGTGTTGTGGGGAGGAGGTGGGGAGGAAGAACAATGAGGAGGGGAGGAAGAACAATGAGGAGGGGAGGAAGAAGAATGTGGAGGAGGGGAAGAAAGGAAAGGGGTGGTGGAGGAAAAGAATGTGGAAGTGGGGAGATAGGAAGACGAAGAAAGAAGGAGAAGTGGAGAAGGAAGGGGGAGAGAAGGTAGAGGAAGGAGGGGGAGGAGGTAGAGGAAGGAGGGGGAGGAGGTAGGGAGGTCACACCATAATATCATACAGGTCAGGTGTCTATCCATCCCTACACACGTCGGCTCCTATACGTGGACAACAACAAAAAACTCCCTCCCAACTGACCAATGAGAACGCGGGGCTAAGAGCAGGTTTGTTGATCTCATGTTGATATTGGTCGCTGCCGGTTTAGGAGTGACCATCCGGGGCGACACTTTTAAAACAGTTTCTGATTGGTCAATGAGAGAAAGGTAACACCTCTTCTGATTGGTTAAGGTCATTCAGTGAGTGTATTGAGAGTTAACGAATGATTAGGAAGAAAATTATAACATGTATACATCTATTTATACATATTGAAATACATACATACATACATACACCTGTATAGCTTGTAAGGGTGTGACGTCATCAGCACCTTGGCCTGTGATTGGCTAGTTGGCAGCAGATACTTTCGAATATGGTACAGCCTTTGTTAAGTGGGCCCGCTGTACACCTGCCCCGTGCCCGCTGTACACCTGCCCCGTGCCCTGTACACCTGCCCCGTGCCCGCTGTACACCTGCCCCGTGCCCGCTGTACACCTGCCCCGTGCCCGCTGTACACCTGCCCCGTGCCCGCTGTACACCTGCCCCGTGCCTGCTGTACACCTGCCCTGTGCCCCTGTACACCTGCCCCGTGCCCTGTACACCTGCCCCGTGCCCGCTGTACACCTGCCCCGTGCCCGCTGTACACCTGCCCCGTGCCCGCTGTACACCTAACCTCTCTATTCTCCTTAATTTTAGTCCTTCATCAGAGAGAGAGAGAGAGAGAGAGAGAGAGAGAGAGAAATGCATAAAGAAAGCAGTGAAGAGACGTAGATAAGTAAATAGATAAGGGCAAAATAAACAGACAAACAGACAGACAGACAGAAAGAGATAAACTGATAATTGTCAGAACTCAAGTGCCACACCCACATACTTATAAGGACTTAAATGATTACTTATACTTTACCAAGAGCGCTCAAGTGTTGTCTCAGAATACAGGTAAACTCTTGACTCACCTGCAAAGTGATACAACAGGTTAGTGTGGTGATTAATAGACAGGTAATTGGTCAAGCACGATAATATATAAACAGACAGACAGGTAGACAGGCAGACAGACAGACACACACGAAGAATAATTATTAAGTGTACTTTCACGTTAAAAATGTCATGAATATTGAGCTTAGGAAATAACTATTAACCCAAGCAGGTGACATTAACACTAATTTACCTTTTATACACCTGGTTATGATCTAGTGAACGCCGTGTTTATAAAGTCCCTTGGTGTTTACAAAGTCCCTTGATGTAAGTCCCCCCCCACACACACAGCAACACGAAAAAGAAAAAAATAAGAAAAACAACAATAATTCAAACTATGCGATAAGAGAGAGAGAGAGAGAATTCCACCTCACTCCACTAAAAAAAAAATCTAGGCTTAACTTCCTGCTACCTGAGCTAGGCGGCCTCAGTCGACCTTCTGAGACCTGCTCCCTGTTACCTTCACTGGCCTGGTAGATCACAGGGGCACCAGAACCTACATCAGGGGGCAAGAGGGGCAGGGGGAGGATCCAGGGGGCATGGGAAAGAAGGAGGCAGGGGCAAGAGGGAGAGGCAAGGGGGCAAAGGAGGGGGCAAGGGCAAGACGGAAGGGCAGGAGGCAAAGGAGGGAGTAGAGAGGAGTGGCGGCGAACAAAGGAAGAACACCAAGAGATAGAACAAAATAACAAGAACAACAACAACACCAGAAACAAGAACAACAACAGAAACCAGAAGAACAAGACCAAGAAGAGCAGCAACAACGAGAACAGCAAGAGGACGGCCTACATACAGACGCTGATACAGACAGGTGAAGGGGGTGACTTACAAGACTGCCAGGAGGAACAGGTGGTGAAGGAGAGAGAGAGAGAGAGAGAGAGAGAGAGAGAGAGAGATACCTAACATAATCCTAACCTAACCTAACACTCATTATCTTACCAAATCTAACCTAACCTAACCTAACCAAAACATGACCTGATCTCCTTCAGGTTGATGACCCCCGAAAACACACCTTTAATATTACCTAATTTACCACCACTACTTAGGGGGCATAAGATAAGAACACGGCTGAGCTAGTTCACATCACTAGCAGGACCCACGAAAAAACTAGTTGTGGTACCTGAACTAGCAGCCCCTCACCTGAGACCTATCATTAAGGTAGATATGCTGTATTTACTTCAACATTACCTGCTGAGTCAAGATACCTGTATGTAATATATTCTTACTTAACCTAGTCTTACCTGACCTAATCTTATCTCACTTAACTTAACCTAACCTAACAACATCAATAAGAAAATTAACATCAAATAAGGCCTTTAAACACGTATTATAAAATCAGCTACACTTTAACTCTCCCCAAAAAATAAGATCTACAAATCACATATTGTAATCAGGTTCAAACATCAGATTAAAACTTGAAAGAAAAAGAAAGAAGGAAAGAAAAAGAATGGCATATAAATCAACCATTTCTTTCAGTGTGTTGGGCGCGGCGTCACACAGGGCGGGTAGTACCTCCTCCTTCTCTTCCCTGGGATCACATGATACCTCGTAATAAAACTCTTCTTCCTCCTCTTCTGTGCTAAGCTACAAGTCGTCTCCAATACCTCACCTAAAAACAACGATCGCTTTTATTTTCTCGCCGAATTCGCTATAAATCTCATGAGGGGTGGAGTCGTGGCGGCAAGACTTTGTGGGTGTCGACCAGTGGCGGTACTAGATAACTTAATACCACACATCATTGACGCCATGACATCTTGTTGTTGACATTGTGTTCCCGCCAATATTGAGTTACCAGGTCGTCTTTTAAGTGCTGTTGATGGATGTCTGTTGTGATGATGGGAATTTTTGTTGTTGTTGTTGTGAAAGAATTTATCGTTGGAAGAGGAGTATTTTATCGAGATGAGAAATATTTTTTGGGGGTATTTTTCGTGAATTTATCGAGATAAGAAGAATATTCTTTATATTTCTCTTTAATTTAACGAGACGAGAAACAAAGTATTACTGGGTTACCTATAAAGTTATATTACCCATTAAAATCTTCCTCAACTGTCAACTCTTGCCTATATCCCTCCCAACCATTTCCTTTAACACACACATAACAATATACCGCGGGTTATAAATTATATATAACCACTAAACTTATAAGATATATGAAAACCCTAAATATAAAACTCAAATATTTATATAACATCATCTTCCTCACAACCTTTTGTTAAAATATATATATAATCTTCACTATATGACTTGACTGGAAGTATATGGAGATACATTTAGATGATGTATATGATATTTATACACAGGTAAGTAGTAATTTATATTCTAGAAGCGTCTGTGTAAAAAAAAATAGATAAGGCAAAGATTCAATAATATTTGGTTCTTTTCTTTTTTCAGGTGACTCACAGAAACAATACGTACTAGAATAAACTTTTGAGAACTGTTGGTGTGTAAAACAAAAACGAAATATTGTGGTGTTTAATTCCATCTCGGTCGTCTTGTTAAAGGGTTGGATCCTGGTCTTGACGGGGCTAAGTGGTGGTAATAGTCAGGAATTTATGATCAACACCAGAATGTACTTAAGCAGAAATATGCAATTATTATGAGTCTGCTTTCACTGGTGATGAGAGAGAGAGAGAGAGAGAGAGAGAGAGAGAGAGAGTCTTCCTCATGTCATCGGTCACAAGTTACATCCGCTGGTGAAAATACTTCGCAGATGTAAACAAGTTGTGACGTCATGGCCTCCTCCAACCATGACATCACATCTTGTTTACATCCTCGACACTACTACTACTACAATTACTACTACTGCTACTACTACTACTATTACTATTACTATTAATAATAATAATAAAAATAATAATAATAATAATAATAATAATAAATAAAAAACAAAACAATTAAAGACATAAAAAGATTATTCCCCCTTTCTCCCTCACTAAGGAGGGTCATGAGGCCCCCCAACACAGCTCCTTCCTGTCCATCTGTCTGTCTGTCAAAGATTAATTCCCATCTCTGCCCTCTGCGGTTGGCCATGGGGGGGAGAAGGGGGGGTGAAGGGAAGGGTAGGGGATGGAAGGAAGGGTAGGGGGGTGGAGGGAAGGGTGGGGAAGAGGGTTGGGGAGGGAGAAGCTATGAGAGTGGAGGGAGGGGGAGAGCGGAGGGGAAAGGGAAGGAGGGGAAGGATGAGTGACAGAGAAGAAGAAAGAGAATATGGACATAGTGGAGGAGGAAGAGAAGAAAGACGGGAAAAGAAGAAGGAGGAGGAAGAAGAGGAGATGGAAAATACACAGAAGAAGGAGAATAAAAGAGGAGAAAGTATACAAATTACGATGACAGGAGAAAGAAAACAGCAAAAAAAAAGGAAACGAAACATGAAAATGAGAAAAGTGGAAGAGAGAGAGAGAGAGAAATGGAATGTAAATATAAGATAAAAAAGGGGAAATAAAAGAGAGAATTAAAGAGGTTAAAATTGGTTACTGAGAAGCATCAAACCTCCGTCTCTGGGTCAAGGAGTTAGGTTCGAAACATCAAGCCCAAGGATTCAAATACCTTAACACGATGAATAGACAGGTAATTAAATAGAGAAATCAATAATAAATTAATTCTCTCTCTCTCTCTCTCTCTCATAACACTCGCCAACGTAAACACAAGGTATAGTTTAGTTATCCAGTTCCAACACGACACTTCACGCCATCATCCTCCTCCTCTTGACACTCCCGGGCGTCTGGCACTAAGGTGTATTGGACATACCGGGATGATTTAACAGCGAAACTTTCAATAAATAGCAAAAAAAAAAAGAAGAAAAGATAGAGAAAAAAGAAAGGTCCGTCTTTGTCCGAAACGAAGTGGAGGAGAGAGAGAGGAAGGGGCAGAGAGGTGAGGGACGAAGAGGAGTGACGTCACGAGCGAGAGATGAATTTTAGTCAATGACGTAATGTTCCCTCACACTTCTTATACGGATACGCTTGTTTCTCTAAAAAGACATCATTACATCCTCTTGATAATTACCCATAATTACTCTAGTGTCTATTGAAGGTGATTTTGACAGACAGACAGACAGGGTTTTATTTGATGATGAATAAAAATAAGAAATAATAATTGTGGTCGTTCGTGAATGTCGACAATATGGCCGCCGTCGATGATCATGGAGGGAAGACAAGTGGAGAAAGTGACGGAAATAGCGACGGTTTGTGGTGAAAATAATGGAACGTTCATTGTCTGGTGGTAGGAGAGGGAGGGGAGAGAGGGGAGAGTGGGAGGGAGAGGGAGAGGGGAGGGAGAGGGGAGGGGAGGGAGGAGAGAGGAGAGGGAGAGAGGGAGAGGGGAAGGGAGAAGGGAAGGGAGATACAGAAAGAAGGGAGAGATGAGAGAGAAGGGATATTATTAAGAATGGAAGGGAGGAGGGAAAGAATTGAAGGAGGAAAGGGAGAGTAGGGAAAGAAATGAAGGAGAGGAGGGAAGGGAGAGAAGGAGAGAGATGATAAAAACGCAAATTACCTCTTGGTTAATTAAACACCTGAGGAAAAGTAAACAAAAGGAAAAAAGTAAACACAGACAATGGTAAAGGCGTAAGTGAGGAAGAAGAAGAAGAAGAAGGTTTGAAAGTACAACAATAAATAGAAAGGTTAAGTAAAATAAGACGAGAGAGAGAGAGAGAGAGAGAGAGAGAGAGAGAGAGAGAGAGAGAGACTACAGCCTTCCCTTCACTGGCACTCAGCCATCTGCTTCATTATCTCCACCTCCCTTCCTCCCTCTATCTCCCCTTCTCTGATTTTCTCCCTTCCTCTCTGAAGTGTGTGTGTGTGTGTGTGTGTGTGTGTGTGTGTGTGTGCCGTACGAAGGCCGGTCGCAACTTTCACGTCCACACAGACAAACACACACAGACACAAACTACAGTCGATCGCTAAACCTGTCGTAAGCGTTTTAGTGCGAGGATAAACAAATATAAAGTAAGAGAATAAAAAATATACAAAAACAAACAAACATA